TAATAGAGGCGTAAACCGTAAACATTTCAGAAACTGCTTATATAATATGATTATTTATAATTTCTATTCAATGTTCGACACAGTTTCAAAATAAAAATAAATTTATACAAATATTCCATTTGTTTATAATAGTTAATTCTCCTTTTACCTTTAGTACAAAATAAGATATACACGTTAACCTTTTCAAATGATGTGCTGTCTTTTAACCTTGGTTTTAAATAAAGAATTCATAACATACGTATATTATGTTATGTGTCTGTTTAACACATTAAATTTTTCAAGAAACATCTCCAAATAATGACTAAATTTTATTTTTAGTTCTAAACCGAGTCAGATGATTCGTCTATCTATCTAACTTGTTTATCAAATCATAAGAGTAAGGAAGGAGTAAGGTACCTAGTTTAGAAAAATTATTGTAAAAATTGATAACTTCAATAATCCTTATTCTGATACCGATAAATATAGGTAAACATTTGTTTAACATAATTCTGTAAACCAGTACAATGGTGTAACTTGTTTAATGATAATTTGTAAAATAATTATACCTTCATATACAGGGTGAGTCTTAAATAAGTGCAAATATTTTCAGGGCTGGTAGATCTCGATAAAAGAAACATATTTTCTCTTTACGATTTTTCAGACAAGATAATTTTTCAGATTTTTTTTTGAAAAAATTTTGAGAGCCACCGGATTTTTTCTGTATTTGCATCCCTTTAGTGCCGTAACCATGGAGTAAAGCCGTAACTAAGGTAATATCAGAGATTAAGAAATTATACGTGGAAAGATTTTCGGTGAACAGGCAGTTCTAAAAAGTTTTCGAAAAATATACAGGGAAATTTACAGAAAATGCACGATTTTCAACATTTTTTTTGCGAAAAAAACCTCATAGACGTGTTCCTGGGGTCGAAATATACCACCCCTGAAAATATTTGCCCTTATTTAAGACTCACCCTGTATACTATACAAGGTGTCATCGAAAAGTATTTCGAGGTTTGTTCAGGTTTTTTCTTTTCATTTATTACTCTTTCTTGTTAATATGAGTTAGTTAATAGTCATGGTAATTAAATAAATACGGAGTTGGAAGAAAAGCCGCGAAATCTGTTTTTTGTAATAGCTGGCTATATGACTCTAAATATTACCATCTACTTTTCATAATTATGTTTTTCCATATTATCTTTTCAAGTACCTTTCATAGCTAAATGATTCATGGAGTTTTAGGGTGATTGATAATTTTTTGATTAATAATTTTGATTTATGGGGAGAAATCATTTTTATAAATGATGGGAATGTCATCGATGTTCATTTCCAAGCCAACTGGGCACCATTTTTTCCGATCATACCGTATAAAATATTAATGATATTAATTCTATTTTAAATGACGTATACAGGGTGAGTCTTAAATAAGTGCAAATATTTTTTGGAGTAGTATATTTCGACTCCAGAAAAACGATTATAAGGTTTCTTTCGCGAAAGAAAATTTGGAATTTTTTTGGATTTTTTTTTACTTTTTAGTTAGGACACATAATTTCTTGATAAAGGGCAATATAGGTAGTAGATTAAATTTACAAGAAAGAAAATTCAGAAAAGCTCCAGTGGTTCATTAGCAAAAAATCATTTTTTTGTAAAGTGTGTAAATCTTAATCAAATTTTACCTTTATTTAAAAAAATACAACTTTTAATATTTTTTACTTATTTAGGACACTCTAAAAATAAGTGAAAAATATTTCGAAACACTTTAACTGAAACAAGCATACAGATTCCAGGAAATTGAAATTACTATTTTATTTCAGTTGATTGCTTAATGATTTTTATTTTTAGACACGTTGAAAATATATCATTTTTCCAAATGCGATTTTAGATGCCAGACTTTCAGTCTCACTGCATTTTAGACGTAATCGTAATAGTGTCACATAAAAACTGAATGATATCTTTAGGTTTAATATATTTTATATGCATAACCGCAAAACCTTATCATATTTAAAAATAGCATTACTTAACATAATGTTATACATTTATTTATAAATAAAAGCTTATCCATAATTCCTTTAATTAGTAAATAAATAGTAGTTAATTTTCTTAATTGTTATGTTTATAAACGTATCATTTATGAAGAACAATTCGGATTTATTTATTTTTCACTCTAAGCATGCTCTAAGCCATGAGCTAGTTAAGCGGACGTATTTTATATTCTAAACAGAATGTAAATAATTGTCCATGAAATTCAATGACAATTTATAATTGAAATTAAGCCTATAAAGGAAGTAAACGGATATAATTTATGTACAGTATTGAAATTTATCCTAACTGGCAAGCATCTTTAATATTGGGTTTTAGAATATCCTTAATGTAAATTTAAAAATAAAGTTTGTGGGAGTTACCATATGAAAGATTTTCATAAAAAATCGAAACGTTAGCAAATAAATGATTTAAAAACATCTAAAAATCATTTAATTTTTAATAAAGAAACCTATGCCCAAGAAAATCACAATTGAAATATTACTTTTATATTGAGTAAAAATTATTTTTAAATGGTGTATAGTTTAAAATATATTTTTTTTAAATATATTATTGTGTCTATCATTATTAGTCACTACATTACTCTAAATGTTAAATTTGGCAGTTATTCTTTAAAGCAAAAACTGCAAAATCAAATTTGACCTAACTCAATTAATAAAAAAAATCCTCTACAATGCGGGCAGTATCTGTGACACTGAGTATTTGCTTATACGTATTACCAAAACTTCCAACTAACAATCATTATGAATAAATTATTGGTTATTTATTTAAAACAATATACAGGGTGTCTCAGATTTTAATCGGGAAAATTTAATAGACGATAGAACTTGGAAAAATAAAACAAAAAGTTCATATCAACTTGTAAGATTTAAAGCTTCCTTTTCGAGATACAGGGTACCATTAGAATACCAATTATAATATTAATTACCAATTAGAATTTAATTTTTTTAGTAAGCAAGATAGACAAAAAAGTCAGGAGACAAAAAAATAATATTTTTAATTACTAAATCCAAAAATAATATTAAACTTCTAAAAAAGCAGTGGCGTGCCTATTTTTTCCTTTAAAATAATTTAACAGTGATGCCCCACCGCCGCCCCTGGCCATTAAACTTAAATCTAATTACATCAAATTAAGTCCCATAGTAAGTATTATAAACGGGTCAAGTTATATCTAAATCGATTAAATAGTTTTTCAAATATCTTGATTTTTTTTTCTTTTTTAAGTAACTTTAACACCATGTATCTCGAAAAGGAAGCTTTAAATCTTACAAGTTGATATGAACTTTTTGTTTTATTTTTGCAAGTTCTATCGTCTATTAAAATTTTCCCGAATAAAATCTGAGACACCCTGTATATATATATATATATATATATATATATATATATATATATATATATATATATATATATATATATATATATATATATATATATATATATATATATATCAATAAAATCTTAATAAAATATTGACATTTTAGTCTCCTATACCAAAGTTTATAGCCTATACATAGGCTTGTATAGGTACTTTATTCTTTAGCATAACACAGAATCGATTCTGTCGTGTAACATTATATATGCAGGGTGGTCCGAACTGTATTCCGGAAACTTCGGTAGCATATTTTGCAGATAAAACTAAGTAAAAAAGTTCGTATAAATCTATGTTCTAAAATGCTTAGTTTCGAAGATACAGGGTAGAGAAGTTTCATTTTTATTTCGATTTTTTTCAAATAATTTCTGAAGTAACGTGATATTTGGATGAAAATTGGTAGTTTTTTGACATGACAAATTTGATTTTGATGTCAATATGACTCCTACTTGTAGAGGGCGCCACCTACATGTGTTTTAACTGTTTTGAAGAATATTAACTGTTCATTAACTAATTTTAATTAACTTTAATTTTTATTAACTTTTCGTCCGTTCTTGTATAAAACTACTGAGTGAAAAAATATACACACAGACATACATTTATACGAACTTTTTTACTTATTTTTATCTGCAGAATATGCTGCCGAAGTTTCCGGAATACAGTTCAGACCACCCTGTATAAATAAATTATCATCATACTAGAATTATAATAAGAATACGTATATAACAATAATATATTTAATTAGGGAAAAATAAATAAAAGAAAACAATAAATTTGACTAACGATTTATCTCAAGTTTAAATTTGAATGACAATTTTACGGAAATTGTTCTCCCTTCAGTAATCCAAAAATGTTATTTTATATTTTTTATATGTACCTATGTCCCCGGATTGTCTTTACAAGAAGAAAAACTTTTTTACTATTGACATTTTAAGAGAAATGCATTCTTCTTAAAAAATTTTGCTTCTACTAGAATTATTAATCCCGTTTATACTTTTCCAAATTTCCATACCGTTTTAGAGAACATTAAGAAAAACATGAAAATATGGTTAATTTTTTAAGGCCTAAAAATCAAAATGCGTTTTTATGGTATAAGGATAACTTCGTTTTCATTTTTTGATATATTGTTATTGAATATATATATATAGAATATTAATTTATGTAATGTATTTTGTTGTTTTAAAATGTTAAAGAAGTACAAAATTTATTTAGTTCAATGCTACGGAAAGGGTGATGATAGTTATCGGAAAATATGATACTTTAACAACAGCAAAGAATATGACATTAATCAAAATTAGTAATAACATATATCATAGATAAAAGACTTATCTACATCTTTCCTCAAAACGTCAATAATAAAAAAGTTTTTCCTCTTGTAAAGACAATCCGGGGACATAATGTATACTTATTTTTTTCTAGTAATTCTCTAATTATAGAAAATGTATGATATAATATAGCATCCTTATCAATTTATCATATTAACTAACTGATTTGAGTGTTTTCCAACTGATTAATGATTAGCAGCATGGTCGGCCGAGCAAAAAATTATTTTAAATATTAGAAGTGATTTCATTGAAAAAAACATTATTATTTCGAATAACGGTTGCTAAGTATCAAAAGTTCACGATTTAAAAAAGGTATGATGTCATTATTACCTAACATTCGCGTTGTTACACCTATCTATTTATACATTTCAATGAAAACCGTTAATGTTAAACATGCTAGTTTATTGATAAAATACAATATTTAATGTTGCGTTAAATACCAGCTTAATAATGTAACATGTAAGCGTAATTATTAATGCATAATTTCCCCGACTACCCAATTATTTTTTAAGGCACACATATAGGGTGTTTCAAAAAACATGTGCCATTTCTCGGGGGGAGATTCCTCACGTAAAAATAAGATTTAGTTTTTATATCAACATATAGGTCCGACTCTGCTTTTTTTCGTAGCTACAGGGGGTTAAAGTCATGTTTTTTTTTCGATTTTCTTCCAAGTGCTTTTCAAAGTTGCTTCCAAAGCTAAAAAGTGTCGACAGATTCGTCAGGGACGTGAATATGCCGGTTATCACTAGAATATTTTCCTAAAAAAACATGTGCGCCACTGACTTTCTTTCCTCTTAGCAAATTTGCGTAGACCGTTTAACGCCTATTAAAAGTTATTAAGAGGTAAACGCAATTTAATTAGTCACAATTAATAAAATAAAATTAAATATAATAATAAAAGTAAAATTAATAAACAATTTATTTAATCTAATTTCTAATTAAATTTCCTTAAAATTTATAACACTGTTGTTCAATACGACCTGCAAACAAACTGAAAAAAACATGATATTTAAGGTAATTAGAAAAGATTTTTTAAAGCTTTAACATCCTGTAACATTTCCGCAGCCATGTTTATAGGAACTTTTTTTTATATTTTTTGATGTGATATAAATGAGTACTTATTTAACACTTTGGCCAGTTAATGATATTATAAATTGTAATGGCCATTCGACTTGGATTAAGGCAAATTAATAGAATTTATCAAGTCCGAAATAGACAAAACATCAAGAGACAACTTTTAATAGGCATTAAAGCATTAAACGGCTCTACATAATTTTAACTATCAAGAGAAAAAAGTCAGTGGCGCACATATATTTTTTTAGAAAAATATTCCAGTAATAACGCAAATGCACATCCCTGGTAAATACACACCATGTCGACACTTTTTTAGCATTAGAACATGTCGCACTTATAGTAAGTTTTACACTCAAAATTTAATACGAATCGATAAAAGCACTTGGAGGAAAATTATAATAAGTCGACAAAGAAGACTTTAACCCCCTGTAGCTACGAAACAAAGCAGAATAGGACCTATTTGGCGTAAACATAAATCTTATTTTTCCTTGGGGTATCTCCCCACGAGAGATGGTTTTTTAAGGGATATACTACTATTTTCAGAATATTTTAAAAACGATTGTAGTTGTGTGTGAAAATAAAAATAGAAAACTTGTCCATTGAAATAAGGGATAATTTTGACAGTCTACATCCAAAAAATGACAAGTAATTGACAAACAATCTAGTTTTTAATTATAATGTCATAAAACAACTGTCACTGTCATATATTCTTTTGTTGGGCAGATTATGGATATTTACGTCAAAAATGATCGTCATATAGAAAAATTATTAATAATTTTCATATAATTTATACAGATCTAAAAGAAAATGTCGGCGTCCGCTACACCTGAACCGCCCATTAAAGAAGTAGAAAATTTGAAACTGGAGAATGGATCTGGAGACAGTGAAAAACCAACTCCACCCACTACACCAACTCCGTTACAATCAACGCTCGAGGAACAATTCAAGCTATTTGCAAAATTTGGAGATCCGAAGTCAGATGGAAGGCAAATCACGTTATCAAACAGCGACAAATGGATGAAACAGGTAACCCTATTTTACTATAATACGAGTATATTATCTTCGATTGATTAAGAAATCTAAAAAAAGGACAAGTGCTAGTCGGACTCACCTACTGAGGGTTCCGAACAAATGTACGTAAACGTAACGTACGTAACCAAACCGAATACATAAATATTTATATACCCGCTCAGTGGGCACCGAGTAGGCGTGGCAAGATTTAGTCAACCGAGTCAGAGCCCACCGAGCGTAAAAATTAATTTTCGCAACTAGAGTAGTAGGAACAGAGAACCCGGAAGGAATTGGACCGTTTATCGTTATCTCTGTTCATACTATCTTTAAATTTATTAATTTTGACGCTAATATAAGCTTGTATAGTTATTAATAATTTAAAACTAAATATCTATATTTATCTGAGCTATATGTTCTTTAAATCTAGTTAATATTCATCTTCTAGTTTTCTTAACATATTTCTGATTGCAATCTTTACATGAAATTTCATAAATACCCGACCTTTCTAGTGGAGGTGTTTTATCTTTAGTATTACCTAATAATTGTTGTAATTTATTATTAGCACTATAAAGAAGTTTATAATTGACATTCTTAAAAATTCTTTTTAAACCACGGTATAACTCTCTATCAAACGGTATTAAAAAATATTTTCTGAATACCGTTTTTCAATACCAAATTACTTGTAAGCACTATAAATTCCAAAACTTGCATGTCAAAATGAAATTTGGATAATCAAACATCGATTTAAAGAATGTGTAGGCTTATTGTGCGTACTAATTTCCCTGTTTCCCATCAAATTATCCTGAAAAGATACAGCTGTAAATACCTAACAATAACACTTACTTTAATTTGAAATTTATGCAGGGTGGGTCTTAATAAGTACGAATATTTTGAGGGATGGTAGATCTCGATAAAAGAAACATATTTTCTTTTTACCGTTTTTCAAATAAGTCAAATAATAAAAAATAAAAAGTTGTAGGGATGAGCCACTTTTGAGACACATCCGGTCAGGGGCGCATATACGGGAGGGGTAATGGGGGTAATTTCCTAAAAAACGGTCAAGTGCTAGTCGGACTCACCTACTGAGGGTTCCGAACAAATATACATAAAGTACGTCTACTATATCTGTGTCTATGAAAGGAATGCGGACAAAAAACATTTAAATTATACAGCAATACATATATTTTAAATCACCACAATACACCAAAACACTTTTATTTTTCCACTGGACGCGCATTTGGCTAACCATGTTAGCATCATCAGCAGATGATTAAAAACTAAACTAATATCTACAATTTGAACCTTTATATACCCGCTCAGTGGGCACCGAGTAGGCGTGGCAAGATTTAGTCAACCGAGTCAGAGCCCACCGAGCGTAAAAATTAATTTTCGCAACTAGAGTAGTAGGAACAGAGAACCTGGAAGGAATTGCACCGTTTATCGTTATCTCTGTTCATACTATCTTTAAATTTATTAATTTTGACGCTAATATAAGCTTGTATAGTTATTAATAATTTAAAACTTAATATCTATATTTATCTGAGCTATATGTTCTTTAAATCTAGTTAATATTCATCTTCTAGTTTTCTTAACATATTTCTGATTACAATCTTTACATGAAATTTCATAAATACCCGACCTTTCTAGTAGAGGTGTTTTATCTTTAGGATTACCTAATAATTGTTGTAATTTATTATTAGCACTATACAGAAATTTATAATTGACATTCTTAAAAATTCTTTTTAAAACTCTCTATCAAACGGTATTGAAAAATATTTTTTGAATACCGTTTTTCAATACCAAATTACTTGTAAGCACTATAAATTCCAAAACTTGCATGTCAAAATGAAATTTGGATAATCAAACATCCATTTAAAGAATGTGTAGGCTTATTGCGTACTAATTTTCCTGTTTCCCATCAAATTATCCTGAAAAGGTACAGCTATAAATACCTAACAATAGCACTTACTTTAATTTGAAATTTATGCAGGGTGGGTCTTAAATAAGTACGAATATTTTGAGGGATGGTAGATCTCGATAAAAGAAACATATTTTCTTTTTTCCAAACCGTTTTTCAAATAAGTCAAATAATAAAAATAAAAAAGTTGTAGGGATGAGCCACTTTTGAGACACACCCGGTCAGGGGCGCATATACGGGAGGGGTAATGGGTGTAATTCCCTCCCAGGAAGAAATTTATAAATTAGAAAATCTGGTATAAATTAAAATTGTCACAAAATAAATTAATAATATCAATCAAAATAGAAATCCATCGTCAGGGACGTGAATATGCGGGTTATCACTAGAATATTTTCCTAAAAAAACATGTGCGCTACTGACTTTCTTTCCTCTTAGCAAATTTGCGTAGGCCGTTTAACGCCTATTAAAAGTTATTAAGAGGTAAACGCAATTTAATTAGTCACAATTAATAAAATAAAATTAAATATAATAATAGAAGTAAAATTAATAAACAATTTATTTAATCTAATTTCTAATTAAATTTTCTCAAAATTTATAACACTGTTGTTCAATACGACCTGCAAACAAACTGAAAAAAACATGATATTTAAGGTAATTAGAAAAGATTTTTTAAAGCTTTAACATCCTGTCACATTTCCGCAGCCATGTTTATAGAAACTTTTTTTTATATTTTTTGATGTGATATAAATATAAAATAGAAATCCAGAACAATCTAGGTTTATTTTTTTTCATAGTCACAATACCTTTAAGCGAAAATTTAATTTAAATCTATTACTTTATTTAAATATTGCCACTACCCCTCCCAGACTCACTCTCTGGATGCGCCACTGCACCCGGTATACTACCCCTAAAAGTATTTACGCTTATTTATGACTCACCCTGTAGTGTATTAATTGATGGGGTGTAGTTGAAGGGTTGTGTAGTCAAAATGAGATGAATAATTTCAAAACGGGTTTCGAAAGATACTGTATTGAAAACGATACAAGGGTAGCATAACCCGGAATGTACGTTAAAAGTATAGCATTTATTCGAAATAGTCCAGAAGGAACACGGAAAACAAACTTATGCATGTAGATTGGAACCTTTTAACTTTGGAACTATCAAAACAAATTTACTAATAAGCTAGAATAATCTAATCAAAAAAGAAGGCAAAATGCAATATGACAACCCCGATTGTTTCATTTAAAAAATCACTCACACCGAGTTACATTCTCTATACAGGCACCCTGTATAGGCTGTCTTCCGGCGAAAAATTAGTTACGCCACTGGATTCTACGTGAAAAACTCTATGAGACTCATAGACGGAGAGCTGGCTACATAAAAAACCTTATCATCGTTACATGGCTAATTTTTTGTATGAAGTATCCTTTTGTAACCATTATGAAACCATTTTGTTACCATTATGAAATAGTCATGTCTGCCAGCGCGATCCCGGGGCTTAAAGCGGGGACGGTCAGTCGAAAGAGTGAACTTTTGACACTAAAAATATTATAAGGTACACGTGTTATAATTGCAAAAATAGCTTTTATTTATTATTAAGAAACGTGTAAAACTGTTGACAGACATTTTTCTCGTGGCTAAAATGCCGGCGGACAACCCGAAAGAGGCATGGAATTTGACAAAAAAATCATCGCATACCTGCATGTCGATTGGTGGAATGTCATGTTTATTTATTTAAAAAACCGAATCTATGCAAAAGGACAGACAAAAAAATCGTGGCTCAATTAGCGGTAGACAGTTATAAAAAACGCGATATTACTCTACAGGGGTTTATGCTACAGGGTGAATCTTGAATAAGTGCAAATATTTTCAGAGCTGGTAGATCTCGATAAAAGAAACATATTTTCTTTTTACCGTTTTCCAAATAAGTCCAAAATAACCGAGTTATTCAAGTTTGAAAATTTAAAAAGAAATTGATTTATTTTTAAATAATTTTGTGAGACACCTGTTTTTTCTGTACTTGCATCCATTATTTTAGTGTCGTAACTAGTAGTGGGAACTATCGAATGAATACTATCGAAACATTCGATAGTTGCAATTCATTCGAATAATTCGATAGTTAGTAAGAAAACATTCGTTGAAAACTATTCGAATAAAAATTATCGAATAGATCCGTCATCTGCCTTGAAATATTGTATTCTAGTAATTCGGCAGCAAAAACCATTCATTTATAAAATTCATTCATTTATAAAATTCATTCATTTATAAAATTCATTCATTTATAAAATTCATTCATTTATGAAATTCATTTATTCGTCAGGATCGATTATAATAAAATATTAACTGAATTTTAGTTGTCGCCCGGCGACGTAGGTTTTTTTTCCGAGAAAGCGGTCGGTGGCAATGCTATGAAAGAAGCCGGCATCTTTGATTTTTTGCGGAGTCATATATAGATAAGGACACATTATTTTTTTTATTGAGGTGCTAGTATTTACACAGAAAATACATTATGAAGGGCGCTGTTGCCATATTTTTGTATTAGTTGATATTAGCAAAGAATATTATTGTTTGGCTTTAGTTAGTTAGGGATAGTATGTCTATATATTCTGCATTTTTTATTAATATTCTGTTGTTACACTGCAATAATACTTGTTATTTTGGATGTAGGAAAATTATTTTTAATGTTTTTAAGCAAAGACTGGTTTAATAAATAATAATAACAGTAATAATTTGTTATACCTATTAACAACAAACTTTAAAATCATTTAATATAAATATTTTTTTTTAAGTAGTAGCAAAATATAAACAACAAATTAGATGTCAAAATTATTTATATTAGATCCTATTTAAAAATAATATAGTCTCTAATTTTTTTGGCAACGTTGGTTTATTAAATAATAATAATTACAGAACTAATTTGTTATATTAACAACAAATTTTAAAATCCTGAAATATAAACATTTATTAATTTTCTAAGCAAGCGGTGTAATGGAAGGAAAATATAAATAAAAAATTAGAAATCAAAATTATTTATATTAGGTGCTTTATATTACTATTTAAAAATTATATTTACTTTTACTGGCATTTACTTTAAAAATAAATGAAATATTTCTTCGCAAAAAACTACATGTAAGAGAATTAGCATAAACAAAATACAAACATCGTTAACTTTTTTTAAATTGGCACGTGTAAAATTTTCATTTTAATTTTCTCACCCCATAGTTTGAGTTCGATAACCATTTATTTAACCACATTACTTAAATATAATTATTAAGTTCCAACTAATTCATAGGTATTATTAAAACATCTAAAATACAAATATGTATTTTTAAAATTAATTGTAAGTTCATCTCATCTCTCTAAAAATTGCTACTTCTCAAAATTTCCCATTAAAAAATAGACCATATACCATATAAAATGAAATAATTGAAAGATCGGACTACGGAAAACCACACAAATTATCGGAAAAATTTTGACCACCTGCACATGCACACAATCGTCAATAAATAAAATTAAAAAATAACTACTATTTTAGTATTTTAACTATTTTAATGAACGCAAAAATAGCACAGTATTTATACGGCGAAGTTATAAAAATTTGGAAGAACCAATAATGCACTGACGCATACAAAATCCAAACGAATACTAAATTTCATTTATCAAAAGCATTCGATAGTCGTGGCTCAACGATAACCATTTAGTCGCACGGCGAGGTTGTCACATATGCTTTAGTTTACAAATGAATGAATGATTTTATTCGAATAAAACCATTCGATAGTTGAAATCATTCATTCATTAACCATTCGATAGTCTAATTCATTCGATAGTTCCCATCGCTAGTCGTAACCATAGAGCCAAGTCGTAAGCATGATAGGTTAAGAAATAATTATACCGTTGGTAAATTTGCGGTGAACAGACAGTTCTAAAAAGTTTTCTAAAATATACATGAAAATTTAAAAATAATGCATGATTTTCTACATCTTTTTTGCGAAAAGAAAACTCATAGACGTGTTCCTGGGGTCGAAATACATCACCCTTAAAAGTATTTTCACTTATTTAAGACTCACCCTGTATAAGTGTTTTCAGGAAACGCTGGCCGCGTTATCAATTGAAACATAATACTTGTAAATCTACAAAAAATTTACGGTGCAGATATCGACTCAGAGGAAGACTTGTTTGCGAGAGTGGGGATCTGCAGTACGATGAGTCAGATACAAATAGTGAGGCAGAATAGTAATTGTATGATATCTATTTTGAAATAATAAAAAAATATATTTATAATATAATCGTATACATGCTTTATCAATACTTAAATGGATGAGGTGGCGAGCGTTCCCTGAAAGCGCTAGAGTAATATCGCGCTTTTGATAACTGTCTGCAGCTGATTTAGCCACGATATTTTTGTCTGCCCTTTTGCATACGGTTTTTAAAATAAATAAATATGACGTTCCATCAATCGGCATGCATGAATGCCATTTATTTTTTTCATTTTTCAAATTTCATATTTTAATAATTTCGAGATCATTTTTAAAATTTCATGCCTCTTTTGCGTTGTCTATCGGCATTTTAGCAACCAGAAAAATGTCTGCCAACAATTTTCCACGTTTCTTAATAAAATATAAAAGCTATTTTCGCAATTATAACTCGTGTACCTTATAATATTTTTAGTGTCAAAATTTCATCCTTTCGATTGGCCGCCCCCGCTTTAAGCCCCGGGATCGCGCTGGCAGACATGACTATTTCATAATGGCTACACAAAAGGATACTTCACACAAAAAAATAGCCATGTAACGATGATAAGGTTTTTTATGTAGCTAGCTCTTAGATTATCAGTTTTCACCTTTTCGATAAATTATAACCAGAGTAAGTGGATCGACATAACCTTGATTATGATGGTTATAAGAAATCGCAATGCGAAGGGGTCGGAAAATTGCAAATTTTTCATATTCGCCCTGTATTTAGGAACTAAGAAGGCTAGGACAAGCATGTTTGTAGCATCTTTAGTTTCATAAAAAAGTAGCGCAGCGCAGTGATGTGAAACCGCATCTTTGTATCTCTATTCATAAACGAGAAACCCTGTTAAACACACGAGAATGAGACACCCTGTACAAGTTAACGGTTGCAGGTCGCTGTATAAATTATACCTATACGGTACTTTCCTTAATGTAATATTTATAATACCTACTTGAACTATTGTCAAATTTTTTATAAATTCTGTTACAAATAAGTGTGTAAAATTATATACTGTGTTAAAAAGTCCCGAGTTGAATAAAGGAGTAAAAGTAGACTAACCTCTCTAAGTTGGTATTTTTTTATACATGCTTTATGATTATAGAGAGATCTTGTAAAGATAACGAAGATTCTGTTCTATCAAATTTTCTTAAAAAAATACGTTGTTATATCAAACAAGTTTATGATTTATTTTATAACTGATATATTTCTATCTGTTTTGTTTTTAGGCAAAAGTAATCGATGGCAAAAAGATTACTACGACAGACACTGGAATATATTTTAAAAAATTAAAATCTTTAAAAGTCGGAATAGTAGATTACAAAAAATTCTTAGAAGATTTGGCCAAGAACAAGAAAATCGAAGCAAGTGAAATCAAGAGTAAATTGGCTAATTGTGGCCCACCTGGTCATCATGGATTAGGAGTAAGTTTAATTTTAAATTTATTTTCTAAATTTAATTTTTCAACCCATGAAATCTCCAAACCAAACCTTTAAAATTTACACTGAAACAATAATTATATATGTTATCTGTATTTTAATTTAAAAGTAGATTATTTTCTTAATTTTTTTACGAAATCATATATTTTCTCCCTTCAACTATATCTTCCTACTCTATTGCAAAAAATATTTTATCCTGTTGAGTAAAAAGGCTAATAATGAAATCAAAATTGTTTTTACCAATAAACTATAAATGTAAAACTTTTATTATTTTATCAGTATTCCTCACCGGAACTACACGGTTTCGATAACTTTATTTTTAATTATCATAATTATTTATATTATGTTTGCTGTGTATTAAATATTCAAATGACAAACGCAAGTTACAGTCAGAACACATATATCTAAAAAAAAATATTTACTAAGTCATATATAGAGTGTCCCAGTATTTCGTGGACATACAACTACTACGTCAAAATAAAACACTAAATCACCACAATACACAAAAACACTTTTACTTTTACACTGGGCGCGCGTTTGGCTAACCATGTTCGCATCATCAGCAGATGATTAAAACTAGTCTTAATCATCTGCTGATGATGCTAACATGGTTATAGAGAAACGCGCGTCATACAGTGTAAAAGTAAAAGTGTTTTGGTGTATTTTGGTGATTTAGTGTTTTATTTTGCTGTGTAACACCAAAGGTTCCAACCTCCAACTCTAAAATACTACGTATTATTGGAATAAAAACACAATTAACAACGTCAATAAAATTTTCATATTCGCCCTGTATTTAGGAACTAAGAAGGTTAGGACAAGCATGTTTGTAGCATCTTTAGTTTCATAAAAAAGTAGCGCAGCGCAGTGATGTGAAACCAATGAATAAAAAAACACAGGAACGAGCATAACGTCACATCGCTGCGATCAAAGTGGAGGTTGCATATGGCCGACCCACGTGGTCGACCTGTTTTCGATGTAGCAGTGGCGTAGAGTAATAATTATGAATAAGTCACGAAAAAAAAAATAAAAATGATAAACCTTGGCAGGTCAGAGTTTTAATAAATTTTTACTTTTATGTTATTTAATATAGAGTTAATTTGTTTATATTTAACGGATTATAAATGAGTTAGTGATTGAACATAGGTAATATTATTATACCTACATATTATTATGTAACTAAAAAAAAGGGAAAACGGATGGGAAAAGGTAAATAAATAAAAAGTCAAAAATACAAATTTATTGGCCTTTAAATAAAATTAATTTCGTATACATTGTGTGTACACTACTGTTTTTGGGGATAAACTCAGGGTTTTTGACAAAATTTACCCATTGCGATCTTCTCGTCTGATTTTTAGGAAAGCTAGAACAAAAGTATAATTTTAAAAAGATTATTGAAAATACCTATTGTCATATTTAACCCCGGGTCACCTTAAACCCCAATAATGAAAGTATTTTCTTTTTGTAGTTTTGTACAGTTAAAAATTTGTCTCTGAAATATATTATAATAATATGATAATCAATATCCAAGTTTTTAACCCAAACAGTCAAAACACAAACCCTAAGTTACGCCTATGATCCTAGGCAAGCTTTGTCATTTGTAGTTTTGTACAGTTAAAAATTTGTCTCTGAAATATATTATAATAATATGATAATCAATATCCAAGTGTTTAACCCAAACAGTCAAAACACAAACCCTAAGTTACGCCTATGATTCTAGGCAAGCTTTGTCATTTGTAGTTTTGTAGGTTAGGTTAACCTTTACAAAGCAGTTAAATAAAATAAGCTTTTATTGGCTTAAAAATTCTTACCTGTGAAATGTAACACCATCATCTTTATGTTTTGGTGTCAGGGAATAGCCACAAGCGGCACAGCTAACCATATTTTCGGAACACTGGAATTTGGCCTCTGATTTGGCGAACTGGGGCGATAAAAAATGACAACAGAATGAGTCATACTCGGAGGACCAATATGGCCGATTTTGTCTCGCGCATACTTTAGTGACAGATACGAAACGCTCGTTCCTGTGTTTTTTTATTCATTGTGTGAAACCGCATCTTTGTATCTCTATTCATAAACGAGAACCCTGTTAAACACACGAGAATGAAACACCCTGTACAAGTTAACGGTTGCAGGTGGCTGTATTATTACACCTATATTTGGTGTATTGTGGTGATTTAGTGTTTTATTTTGATGTGTAACACCAAAGGTTCCAACCTCCAACTCTAAACTACTACGTATAATTGGAATAAAAACACAATTAACAACGTCAATAATTAATTTATGAAACTTATTGACAAAAATTATTTGACACTGGCATATCATTCTACATCCACCTCTACATCGGCAACTAGATTATTATTGCCTACTAGATTTTAACGTGTGATATGGCAAAAAATCTTTTTTACAAGAAACAAAACCGTTCAGATAATTTTTATCCTCCTTGTACTCTTTCTGTTTTTTTTGCGAAGTGAGATATACCATATACCACTAACAAAATATAGATAAAGATATATCTAGATCTATCTATCTATATTTTGGTATACTTTCTATATAATTCAATATACATCAACTAATTTAACAATAATTGAGTCACAATTACATTCACAATCTTTTACAAAATATTAAAATAATTTTGAAACCCAAAATTAGATAGATACTTTTGTAGATTGTATGGGGGGGGGGAGTTAATCACCACAACCATATAGATCTATTGTATCCCCTTTTCTTGAGTAATAACTCACCATACAGTCTCAGGGCTTTGACAAAAGCTAGTATCTGAGACGGTTTCGCACATATTAGTTCTCCATCTCCGATATATTTCGTACCAAAGTTTATGGCACGAATGGTTATCGTCTCGGCGCACTCAGTGATGAAGTGTTATGGTGTTTCCCTATTTTCCCCTCAGAATCTGCATTTGCCGTTGTTTCTTAGCTACTAAGGTGTTCCTTGAGGAGACAGCGTACTGTTAAAAATCCCGTGATAATCCGAAAATTGTTCTTTCTTAAATCTAGGAAAATCTTCGATTTTTCTCGGTCGTAAGTTCTGAGAAATCTCTTCTAGTGTCTTAAATCGTTGGAGGATTCCCATTCCAAATTACAGATGGACTCTTCCACGCTCTTGAGTTCCGTTTTAAGTTGGTATCTTCTTGGGAAACAGAACGGTTCTGGTCAAGTTAGTCGAGTGTTCGCTCATTTTCTAGCTAGATAGATCGGTTGCTTTTCCATTAGCTTCTCTCCCTTGGTGGGCTTGTACACACAAGTAGGAGGACCTTATTTTCTTTTCATAATTTGTACATCTACAATATAGATACTTTTAAGAGTTAAGCTAATTTGAGACCTGAATGACTCGGCTAAATGCTTTGTTATTGCAGATTATGGTTCTCAAGTATTAAAAATATTTTACATTAACAAGCTGCTCATTTGATATTGTGTTTTTATTGCAGTACAAAATAAAATCCCTTTTATCATTATAAAAAATACCATTTTTCATTACACAAACAACAGTTCCCTTAATATGTTGTTTTGAACCCTTGATCACTTAATAGATGCAGAGATACTATTTTTTATTTTTTTTAGAAAGTACACAATACCAGTACTGTAGATCGGCTAACTGACACTACAAAGTATACTGGCACGCATAAACAGAGGTTTGACGACAGTGGAAAAGGAAAAGGCATTTCTGGACGGAAAGACGTACTGGACGACTCCGGCTATGTCAGCGGCTATCAAAATAAGGATACTTTTGACAAGAAAGAATGAACAGTGCTTGAGTAAAAGTTAACTTGTTTTAACGTACGCATCAGTGATGTATTTATAGTTATTCTAAAAAAATATTTATTATAGTTTTTTATTTTTAACTCTATGATTATAGTCCTGGATTCAGCGACATTTTTATTGATCACCAAAACCACTTTCTACGTTAAGTGTGTGGAAATGTACTCGTATAAAACTTTAGCATTATTTTTTATACTACATAATTTTTCACGAAAAACAAAAGCATAATCGTACATTTTGTTTGGTTTGGTTGGTTTTACCACGATTTTCTTGTGTGTTAATTTTCAATGTCATTAACATATAAACATCAACTCAGTAAAATGAACCATCTATTTTAGTAGCTATTTTCAATTGTATTATAAGTTTCTTTTCAAAAGATACTAGCTCGCTCTCACATTGGTTATACAGATTGGTCCAAACTGTGTTCCTGAAACTTCGTCAGCATATTCTGCAGGTAAAAATAAGTAAAAAAGTTCTTATAAATGTATGTCCTAAAATGCTTAGTTTCGGAGATACAGGGTGTATAAGTTTTATTTTTATTTCGAGATTTTTTCTAAATAATTTATGAAGTAACGTCAATATTTGGATGAAAATTGGTGTATAGGAATTTTTTATATTGACTACTTGTATTTCCATTTTAAATATCTTGAGAACGGTTGCCCGTAGCGAGACCAAGAGGCATTTTTTACGTAAAAAGTTACGGAAATGTATATTTTTTCAGTAGTCAGTAGTTTTATACAGGTACGGACGAAAAGTTATTACTCTTCAAACAGTTAAAACATACATATGTTTTAACTGTTTGAAGAGTAATAACTTTTCGTCCGTACCTGTATAAAACTACTGACTACTGAAAAAATCTCGCCACCTACATAGGTGGCGCCCTTTACAAATAGGAGTCATATTGACATCAAAATCAAATTTTTGATGTCAAAAAAACCCCAGACACCAATTTTCATCCAAATATTGACGTTACTTCAGAAATTATTTGGTTTGGTTAAAAATCAAAATAAAAATGAAATTTCCACACCCTGTATCTCCGAAACTAAGCATTTTAGGACATACATTTATACGAACTTTTTTACTTAGTTTTATTTGCAGAATATGCTGTCGAAGTTTCCGGAATACAAGTTCAACTGTATAATAATATTTACTTCGTATAATTTCAAGATGAATAAACTGACATATAATATGAAAAGAGAGATTATAGTATACTAATATATGATACTTAAGGTCATTCCAAAGAATTAAATACAAAATAAAATCGTAATACACATCGATTTTATTTTTGGAAGAATGAAATCGTCAGAATATAAAGTCTGTTCAACGAGTCAGAAAAGATTTCGACAGACGACATCCAAAGTGACGGAAAATTCAATTTACCTGTGAATTAAAATGACAGACGACAACTGTCACTGGTTGGACAGACTTTAGACATCCCATAAATGTTCTGTTTTAAGATTTACTGTACAATTTATGTAACTGCCAATGCAATAAATTTTTCAGACATATTATAAATACAATAACGCAGTTTTTCCGTTTTTTTTTGCAAAGTCTAATATGTATTGTCTATACCTATACATACTCTACTGTTTTTTTTATAAATACATCACTATGTGTAAATATTAAGTGTTAGAGATATTCGTAACGAAATAAAAGGGCACAGAAAGCTTGTCACACTTAGATATCGTTCTTTTATGTATATGTAGTATATTTTTGTTAAATAATTTATATTTTACACAAAAGGCTATAACTGTATTTTTCTAAAAAATATCTTACTCCTGAATTCCACACATCTTCCATATATAATTAAAAATTAAATCAAAAGAAATGCAGGGATAAAACAACTATTGTGTTCTAAATCATTTAAGTCTTTCCATTGAATTATATTATTATCAATATACATATTTCTATTTATTACGTAATTTTTACTATATTTGAGATTGTTCATCTTTAAATATGAAAGTTCATAATTGACAAGCAATAAAGATATTGATTTTGCATTATTAAAAAAATATAATCGTTATCTTTTTAGAATACTCTATTATAAAGATCAGAGGTTTTCTATCGCATTTTTTGCTGTATATGCAATAAAAAAATTACGTCAAGTTACCACAGCAATGCTCATCGTTAATATTGTGGATTAACATTTCTGAATTAACTAGATGTCGTTTTTTTTAGGTTATACAATATTCAGAAATATACCATTTCAGAAAGAGATGAGTGAATTTCAGACCACGCTTTAAAAACATTTTAAAAATATTTAAAAATCATGAGCAGTATTGAATTGAAAATATATTCAGTGTTTACACTTTTCATTGATCGGTATTTAATAACAGAACTGTAAAATCTAGTTAAAGTACTTAAATATCTCTAGTATTTGGTTCTCTTCAAGTACAATTTGTTATTAAATAATATAGATTGAAATATTTGAAGTGTATTACTAAAGTTGAATTTTAAATAATTATTTTTAATGTTGTGTGTTTGTTCGTTTTATACTATAACTTTCTAGATTAAGGCCTCTCTATGGTTTAATATATGTTAATAATTATGTATTATGAATATTTATTGTGAATTATTAAATATTCAAACCTACTGTTTAAGCTAAAAGTGATATATTTTGTAAGTTTTATAGTTTTACCAATAATTACTAGGTATTTTGGTTTAATTTATAAACTTCATTTTGTTACTGTATGAGGTTCTGTATACAACAAATTCAATGTTCTTATTAGAAATAATATATTTAGCAGATACAAATATACAATTTTGGAGATTAATAATTATTATTTTCTTAACTATAAATGCTCTACGTATTAATAGAGGAAGTGAAGGTAGGTATTTTGGAATAGTAGTTATAAAAAAAATTGCAAAAAAATTAAATGTTGATAATTTTGAACAAAATAAATAGTGTGCCTTAGGGTACTTACATAGTGAGGCATCTCGATGCGACGCATCCTACGCGCACTTATCCACCGTTTTATTAAAATATTAAGTATTTATTAAAAGAGGAAATTAGGTAGAATATTTATAGTAGGTGCACATATAAAGCGCGTCTGCTGGATCTATGTCTATGAAAGGAATGCGGACAAAAAACATTTAAATAAACAGCAATATATTTTATGCGTCGACTTGACGAGTAAGTTACCGCAAATCGCTCCGCCCACTTATTTTATTGGCTACTTGCAAATTTGTCGAATTTTTATTGATGGGACCTGTCCTCTAATTTTTTACGAAAAACATCGAGAGAATATCGTTTCCCCTCTCACGGATACCCCGTAGCTACAGAACGAACAGACGTACAGTACAGATACGTTCCGGAGTCATATCCGACAGAGAGTGCACTGATAATTCGCATGTGAGGCACTGACCCCACTATTCTCCCCTTGTACCTTTCCTTCGCTGAAAAAAACATAACAGCTTACTTTTGGTTTTTCTTATTACCGATTCTGAACCGTCCAATAACTGTGATACGCAAGCGCAGAAGGAAATAGGGAAAATTGTTTCATTTGCGCATGCGCTGCAGTGTCCTAGGACGGTTCACAATCGGAAATAACAAGAACCCGAACAAAGCTAGTCTCGATCTTCTGGCTTTACTTTTTTCATCTATGCTTCTGGCTCTCTATTTAAATCAATTTCTGGAGCGAGTTTTGAGGAGTTCGAAATAATTCAGCTTGCATTAGATTCACTATTTTTTCTTGTCTTCTGATATTTGATCCTTTTATCTATCTCTCCTACAATTAGGAGCAGATTAAGAGAAATCTATCGACACCGCACACCTTATATGTTAAAGTTAAAATCCACCAAGAAGGTTGAGCTACAGTGCGTGCTAAAGAAATTTACATACGTCATAGATAAAAGAAATAAATTTAAATTGGAAAGCCCGTCAAAATATATAATTGTTTTGGGTCGCGACCGCTGTACGCGATTTGGCGCTGCCTATAGCGGTTGCTAAAAATTATAAAATCTTTCAAAATTTAAACCGCCCTCATTGAAAAAATACCGAAAAGTGTTTAAAGCGCCAATTCTCAAAGTAATTATTGCTATCTTGTAAGTTTAATTTAAATTTGACTTACTCAAACCCGTGATAATTGTGAAAAAGTGCCATTAAGAACTAAAAAACCGTGTTGTGAACTGCAAAAACCATTGTGGATGGTGGCATAACGTCGGTTTCCAATGTTTCATAGGTATTTCACATACGTGTCCTCATATAAAATAAAGTTTCTTGTATGCAAGACATTGCATTTTATTTATAAAATTAAAAGAAAATCATAAATTTGAATAAACAATATTCGGCGACATAATTCCGGAAAAAGCCGAACCGATTCGAAATTATCAAAAGCTTTATTGGGTCGCGACCGTTGCAAGAATAGCGCCAAATAGTGTTTACATTGTCCTTATGGGCACTTTCTAATCTAAACCTGTGATCTAAACTTCTTTCATTTGTCTATGACATACATTTTCAAATTAGCAACATGAAGACCTACGCCCTAATCCGTAAAAAATATATATTCATTAACATATCGAAAAAATACATTTAGTAAATTAAAATGTAAACCCATACTTACCTCAAGACCCAATCAAAGTTAATTTAAATCAAAATCAAGGCAATGATTGCCGATTTAATTTGCACTAAAAAATTTTTGTCACGTCACAATAATTATTTGTTCACTTTCTTTTCCCCTGTACTATAAATTTAAATAACTACTATACAAAATCTGTTGTCAACTAAATACAAACCGAACTAGTAGTTTATACCATATTTCTTACCATACAGATAGCGCCACGCATAGCTTCAATAAGTGAGTATTCCAAATTACCAAAACAGTATTCCAAATTATCCTCACGTCCTCTACCTTATTCCTAAGATCCTATCATATCTTTTTAAAAAACAAGAGGAAATAAATAAAAATTAATATAATATAATTTTTATATTTATGTCAGTTTTATTACAGTAATACTGATCGGTTTTCAACTTTTTCTACAGATGAAACTAAATGTATTTAATGGTACATTTCCAATTAATATATAATAGGTATAGGTAAAATACTTAAGTGGACTGTCCGGATATATTCATATAAATTGATTTTCCAAAACACGATGAGCTTTCAGATCGGGTATTTTCAGACTAAACAGTCTAGATCCTTCTACAATCCATACACTGCCACTGTCACCACACTTATATACCTCTACAATTGCTTTAGCAACAACTTCTGGCTTTTGCCAGCAAGCCTCGTCCAGATACGCCTTTAAATCGTTACTCATGTGTGGACAGCATATCTTCTTAATCACATCCTAAAATAAGTCGATAAATTTATATAAATAAAAATAAAATGACGTTTAATTGTTATTTACACCAATACTCGAGAGGAGATTTGGCTAATTTGGGTTTTGAAATATTTGTAGAAATCCGAGGAAAATTTAAGTAGTGACAAGAAATTGCAAGAAAAATAGTAACCAAAAAATACAAAATAAATTTGACGTTTAACAACTGCAACGAAGTTATAGTTATATTTAAAAAGCGGTGGTGGTCGTGTGGTATAAGATGGTTCATACTTAACATAAATATAGGAAAGAGAAATCATTAGAAAGTCTTAGAATTTTGTTGATGATGGTTAGCAAAACACGCGTCCAGAGGTGAACGAACAACTCGTCATATTGTGGCCGAGTAGTGTTTTATTTCGCTCTTATGTAAAATCGCTAAAATGATTACTTTCGTAAACGGTGACTCCGTAATTCCAGAACATAGAGCAACGACTCTTATGCCTGTACGCATAAAGTTCTGTTCGTGTCCTTTGCTCCTTGTGTATCCTATAACACCATGAAAACTCCCTGCCAACACCGGTGAAGGACTAAAGGGTTCGGTTCCAGACAAACCCACCACATTTAGAACCATTCCGGGTTTTGTTATGACATCCTCGGCTAGCTGATTGACGTTAAGAGTTCCCATCTGTAATAAAAATATGAATTATAATCCGGTCGAGATATTAAATCCCGTGAGTTTCTAAAATCCGTGTTTTTAGAAGAAGAAAAATTAACTAATCAATCTGCATCGATCCATGCCCAAAAATCGTTCAATTCGGGATAAGTGAAAAAAGCTCGATTTTAGTCGGGAAAATTTTTGGAAACTTTGCTTTTTTCAGCCTTTTTTAGAATATCTACCAAGCCCTTCAATTATAGGCTTGGTGCATTCTCCGCCGGTGCTGCCACCATCTGCGAATATCGTAAACAACTAATATATACAAATACATGGGTTTAAATAGCGAGTATACGAAAAATTTATTATATAGTTATTCTAAAAGTGTTAGGAAGTATAATTTTAAAAATTCTAAAAATAAAAAAGTTTGTAAATATTTTGATATCTTCAGAAGGTCTAACTTGTATTATAATTTATTATACCAGCTAAAAAACTTTTTAGATGAGTTCAACTACGGTAGCGAGCATAGTTTTAATCACCGGTTTTGCTAGTGGAGCATAACTGGGGCTATTTCGGCTATAACGATTTTTTTTAAAGGTACATAATTATAATTTTAGAAGATGTTCATAAAACATTGTTGATTAAAAAAAGTATACCATTAATATTGCAAATTAGATTATATCCTCTCATAGTATATGTCTATTTAATTCTTTGATTATGTAACAAGCACTTTGTTTACTTACTTGTTTCGTCGAACTGCTTGAACCCATTTTTGCTTTTGATCAAATCGGTGTGAGAAACTATGAAGCTATAAAATGTTGTTTCGGGAGAGTTGAGTTATTGAATGATGTTGTTGCACCCAACAAGGTCCTCATTACGCGTTAATATTTTTTCGGCAGTTTTATTAACATTTGAAATTGTCACAACACGACGCCTAGTTCAAATCCTTTTTCACTTATTTTTACTACCCGAAACAGCGTTACATCACACAAACCTCGACTTGAGTGTTTTATAGTCTTAATAACTGCACTAGCAAAAAAACTAAAATACTTTAATATTATAACAAAACCACGATTTCAATATTATTTTAATGCGATCAACATGACGGCGCGCGGCGGCGGCGTGAAATAGGCACTGATAATTTCTGATTTTTGCCGCTGAAGCGCTGCGGTCGGAATTTGTTGAAATAAATTGAAATGCACCAAGCCTATAGCCTTAGTCGACTTAGGTACCCAAACTTGTATTTTTATTAAGAAATTTGTTCATTATATGCCAGCAGTAAGATATGAACTCTGCGACCCCACGCCACTGGGTACTTTCTGCAGCGGTACTATATATATATATATATTTTTTATTTTATTAATGTATAGATTCAAAATATACAGAGTGGTCCGAATTGTATTCGGAAACTTTTTATTTCGGTATTTTTCAAATAATTTCTGAACTAACGTCTATATTTAGATGAAAATTGGTGTTTTTTTTTTTGATGTGAGAAATCTGATTTCGATGTCAGCATAACTCTTACTTTTAGGGGTCGTCACCTACATGCTTTTTAACTGTTTTGAAGGGTAATCATTTTTCGTTCGCATGTGTATAAAACTCCTGAGTGAAAAATACAAATTTTCGCGGTATTTAGGTCTAAAAAGTCTCTTTGTAAAAATCGCTACCAGCAGCCGTTTTCGAGATATTTGGAATGGAACTATGGAATGGAAATAGTCAATACATGTGATCATGTACAGGGCGGACCAATTTGGTTGTTTCTATAGGGTATCTATAGGAAACCGTGAGAAATATTCAAATTTTGATACTGCAGTCTCGGGTTCTTTTTTTAAAAAAATAACAATGGCGCAAACGGATCGTGGCTATCTTGATCGGTTTTGAAGATACAAGGGGATTCTCAAATTTTGTACTTTTTGAAGATGTTCGATAGTTTGTTTATTTCAGCAACTACGGAAAAATTAATTATACATTCTAAAGGCACTTTTCTGTGTAGAATGCAGTGGCGTAGTCAGACTTTTTTCCGAGCTTTTTTTCAAAAAAAATATTTTTTTTAGATATTAACTATACTTATGTTTTTTTAAATAGAACCCCCTGTATATTTTAAAATTTCCTGATTCTGCTTGGCATGGGCTTCTCGAAAATATATAACACTCTATATTTATTTTCACTATTAACCTCAAAATTTCATTTTTTTCTTAAAATATCGAGTTAGAAGCAGGCCGCGTCGAGTAACAAAGTAAACGGTTGTCATGGTGATCGGAACATACCTTTGATGGTTGCAGTTGGGTCTTCAGTCTTGCTCTATAGCATATAAATGCTATAGAGCAAGGAAAACCCAGCTTCTACATCCTGGAGACGCAGAATCGAGTTTTGTAATTGGTATTTGGGAATGTTAGAAGAAAATGACTTGTTGTTTGATCAGATTATCTGGTGCGATGAGTCAAGAATTTCAAGTGATGGTATATTCAACCGGCATAATAATCATATTTGGGCAGAGATCAAAATCCCAATCAACAAGTAAACAGGGACATTTAACAAGGACGATTTGGATTTAACGTATGAGTTGCTTTACTGGGTAACGAGTTCTTGCCTATGAAATATACGAAGGGAATATGAATTCTCACCGATATCTTCAAATTTTAGAAAGACACATTGTTCCATTTTTAGATAACTTGCCTTTGGGGGAAGGTGAACAAAAAATATTCTTTCAGCAGGATGGAGTTCCAGCTCATACTCGCAGTGGTAGTAGAATATCTCAACGCGAACTTTGGACAAAAATGGATTTCAAACAATGGACCAATCAGGTGGCCACCTAGTCTTTGTGTTTTTATTTTTTTATATTAACTGAGAAGCCTGATTGAAGAAACCTGTTGAGAAATTTATAAATTTATTTGTTCTTTTTTTTAATAAACAAAAAAAACTGTTGAGTTTATATTAAAATATTATTCTTTTGTTTCTGTCACGCTTATTTTTTATTTGCTTCGTATTGTTCGATTTTATTTAATTGCTAATACATGGATTAATTTGAAAGTAGATATTCGCTTCTTTCCTTTAATACTTGACATGACCTACCAAGAAAAAATATAAATCAGCTGCCCATTTGCTTATATGTTTGTTAGACTCAATATAACATTCTATATTTCAAACATTATATATTTCTCAAAATTTTCAAATTTACTCATTTATTTATTATTTAAAAAACACACACTTCAATCTGTTGAAATGAAATGTCACGCATCCATCAAAGGTATGTTCCGTACACCATGTTAACCGTTTACTTTGTTACTCGGTGCGGCCTACTACTAACTGGATATTTTAAGAAAAAATTGAAATGTTGAGGTAAATAGTGAAAATAAATATAGAGTGTTATATATTTTCGAGAAGCCCATGCCAAGCAGAATCAGGAAATTTAAAAAAATATACAGGGAGGGTTATTTAAAAAAACATATAAGTGTCGTTAATATCTAAAAAAATATTTTTTTCGAAAAAAGTCTGACTACGCCACTGCATTCTGAACAGAAAAGTGCCTTTAGAATGTATAATTCATTTTTCCGTGGTTGCTGAAATAAACAAACTATCGAACATCTTCAAAAAGTACAAAATTTGATAATCCCCCTGTAGCTTCGAAACCGATCAAGATAGCCACGATCCGTTTGCGCCATTGTGATTTTTTCAAAAACAGAACCCGAGACTGCAGTATCAAAATTTAAATATTCCTCACGGTTTCCTAGATACCCTATAGAAACAACCAAAATGGTCCACCCTGTACATGTTGGGGATTTTTTTTTATTTCTTTGATCATAAGTTTTTCTAGAAAAAACTGTGATAAAACTTTTTAAAACGTTTCTGTTGAATCTTTGGCACAAAAACACTTCAAATTTATTATTTCAGTCTAATAACTATCTAGTCAACGTGTAAAATTTGTCTATATGACATGTATTGATTATTTCAATTCCAAATATTATGGGAACCATTACTCATAGCGATTTTTACCAAGAGAGCTTTTTTACGTAAAATACGGCGGAAATGTATATTTTTTCACTCAGTAGTGTAATACAGGTACGGACGAAAAGTTATTACACTTCAAAGCTGTTAGAAATCATGTATGTGGCACCCCTAGAAGTAGTTAGACTAACATCGAAATTGAATTTCTCACGTCAAAAAACACCCCGACACCAAATGACAAACAATAATGAAGCTTTTCTACACCCTGTATCCTCCAAAACGGAAACGAAGTATTTCAGGACATGTTGCCGAAGTTTTCCTAATACAGTTCGGACCACCCTGTATAAATAACAAAATTATAAGACAAAAAAAAATCAAAAGATTTATACATACTAAATTTAAATTAACTTCGTATTCCCATTGTTTTTCATCCCATATTCCAAAAGTATTAATTACCATATCAACTGATTTAAGTTCACTTTTTGCTTTCAAAAGAGAATCTGAAGGAAAGGTTAATAGAACATTAGCCAATTTGAAACTCATTTGTACAGTTTGACAAATATAGGAAGAGACTTGGGGATAGCACCGGTCGCGCACACGATAGAGAGAGAACGCATTCGGCGGAAGAGAGATGCAGTTACGCTACGAAAAATCTGATTCAAGCAAATTTGTGGGCTGTCCACTGCGCATCGAGGGGCGTCTCTTATTTTATATTTCTCACGTCTCTAGCTATACTTGTTAAGTTGTACGGAATAATACCATGAATATCCATTTTATCAGTGACATTGCATTTCAAAAAGATGGCCTTATTTTTTCCAAAAGTGCAGTTTAAAGCCGAAACAGCTTTCTCTCCTTTACAGATATCGGTGTCCAATAAAGCGATTTTTCCAACCTTTGCACAAAATAGCAGGTTAGCTGTCGCCTGCCCAATCGCGCCAGTACCACCAACTATTACTGCATTCTTACAATCGGTTTTAGCAAATGTTTTCTTAGTTTCAGGGCTAAAAGCAGCTCATTATTTTTCGCACAGAAAAGTTACGTTTACGTTACCTCTTTGAATTGCACACTAAAGGATGTACTAATCGTCTCGCACTAAAAATGATAGTTTTATGAGAATTACAAACTATATTCACTTACTTTACAATGTGGTAGTACTCAATGGTTTTAAAAAGTTATAATAAGAAATAAACATTTCCGTCTAAAATTGCATCTGTCTTCTTGACAATTATATTGATTTGTTGAAGGCTAATCAAAACCTGATTTCATTTTTAAATCTTTTAAATTTACTAAAATGTTAGGTAAGTACACCTCGACAAGAATAAACTATATTTACTTTTTAAAAAATTTAGTTACCTACTTGTTACTAAATAGAAGCAATCTCAAGTACATATTATTTTTGTATACCGGGTGCGTCTCAAAAGTGGCTCAACCCTCTAACTTATTTTCTTAATGTTAGTATATAACATAAATTAGGATTAATTGACGTATTTAATTGTTTTTAGTCCCTTCCTGTTTCACCCGAAATGAATACAACTTTTGATTTTTAAATGGCACCCTTGATATTTTTTGACTTTATTCGATAGAAAATGACATTCTCAATAGAATCGCATACTGTGATCACATATCATATGTGAGCTTTTGACATTCTCGCTTAATAAAAAATCGTATTTTAAATTTCAATCTAGAGTGCCATGGCTACGTTAAAAACACTAATTCTTAATCAAGGAGCCTTGGAAAATAGATTTGATCATCTAATGTTTTTAGTGTCTTGTCCTGACCAGTTAAAAGATTCCAAAATCGTATTTTTAATCATATCTCAATTTTTTCAAATGGAACGAGGGTGGCTCATTAGCATATTTAGAAAAAAAAAATTACGAATAATTTGATACCACACATTTGGTATTTCGAGTCAAATTTTCGTTATGAACCGCAAGTTATAATTTAAAATAAACCATATACGAAAATGTCAAAAGTTGACATATGATGTCATTCTATTCAGAGTGTTATTGTCTATCGAATACAGTAAAAAATACCGAGGGTGCTACTTAAAAAGTTGTAGTCATTTCCGGTGAAACAGGAGTGACCGAAAACCAATGAATAAATGATTCTATTCTAATTTATGTCATATACAAAGACATACCAAATCTCGTTTTTTTTAACTACACATGTTGACTAATTAGTTATTGAACTGAAATCATAAATTTGAAATGTTTTTGTGCCAAAAGTTCAAGAGAAACTGTTTTATCATTTAAATAAAAAGTTCCCAAAATCTACTCAACATTTTTATTTCTTTCAATAATGACATGTATTAACTACTTCCATCCTAAATATCTTGAGAATGAGTCATTTATTACGTAAAATATCACGGAAATGTATATTTTTTAGTAGTAGTAGTTTTATACAGGTGCAGACGAAAAGTTAGTACTCTTCAAAACAGTTAAAACACATGTAGGTAGCGCGACCTACAAGTAGGAGTTATGTTGACATCATAATCAAATTTCTCGTGTCAAAAAACCCCCAGACACCATCTTTCATTTAAACATTGACGTTACTTCAGAAATTATTTGAAAAAAATTGAAACAAAAATTAAACTTCTATACCCTAGAGCTTTGAAACTATTCATTTTAGGACATACATTTATATGAACTTTTTTCTTAGTTTTATCTGCAGAATATGCTGCCAAAGTTTCCGGAATACAATTCGGACCACCCTGTATAACTACAATATGATCGAAAAAAAGGCGTCAACGATGGCTATGAAGTGAAGATCGCTGTCATTTAATATGTAATGTTATAAACCAACTGCACGCCGTTTTTTCCATCATATGGTATTAAAAAGAAGGTACATGCGTGATGTATGTATGTAGCGGATGGCCAACCAAGTATAAACGCCACGCCAGAGGGGGCTGCATTTTAGAAGGTAAATATCATATAATCACTAGTATAACTTAAGGAGAAATATCCGCTAGAGGTGAACCTGGTGTGACCAATAAGAAAACGGAATTTTTTTGGAAAATATACATCTGAAGGTGAAGGCTATTCAGTAAAAATATCACACTTTACTAAACTAAAACTCGCGTTTATTTTACTTTCCATTTAATTCACAATATAATATAATAATTATAAATATCTTCTATCTTCAATAAACAACTGCACGTATTCTCTCCAAATCATTATAATACTTTTGTTTGTCTGGCTCCATAAATCTAAGAAATAAATATTACTTTAACCCATCAGTATGTATAAAATTACATAAATAATATTTTACCAAGGATCAGTTAATTTATAATTTAATCATAAAATTCATAAGTCTAGCATGTATAAAATTACATCATAAAACAATAAACGTACACAGGATGTTAAACTTTTAGAATAGTTTATAAATATTCAAACAGATACTTTTAATAGAATTATTTACATGTGTGTCATCTAAAGCATGCTTGATCATAAAACTATACCGATTTGGCCATTGAAACTGTGCGGTCTGGATTTTAACGTGTAAGACAGTGATGTAGATAGCTTAATGGGAAATCAAATGTATTAAAGAGATAAAATTTGGATCGACACATTTCTTCTATGCGGTATTGCCGGATTTTGCATCAAAATTTCAAACCGCGCAGGTTAGGCGTTTACAAAAAATGTTGTAGGCTTTATTTTTCACTATTAGTTACTCATTTTACTACAGCAGTAATAGATTATATTTAGTTTAGATATTTTATCAACATTTCAGTAGTATACATGAAAGTTTTTAAAATAGTTTATATTTTTCTATACACATTTTCTTACAAACGTAACAAACCGGCAACACAATATGCCGTTTTTGATTTTGTCTGTCTGTCAACCTATCATTTATATTATTCTCTGTCACACTCATTAAAATCCAGACCACATAAATTGGATTACCAGGAGGGTATGGACACCCTGTAAAGGTATGGATTAACCTCCTACATTTCCTGATAATGGTATAAAAGACTCACCAGCATTTGGAATAAGGATTGCTTTCTGCGGTCAGGTTACAGTTTTTCCGATATGCAAAGTTACGGTAATTTCAGCTGCCTGGGAAGTACAGAAAAAAATATAGTAAATAAAGGAAAAAACATGAAATTTGTAATATATGTTGGAGGCAGATGCCGAATTCGGCCTATGTCCGAAATAATTAGACATATGGCGATTATAATTAAATATACCTACCTATATCCACAAAATTACGCGGAAGAGTTTTGATTGGTTTCAACTTCTATGCGGAGGGTGTTGTTAATCTTTTGTTGTTATATTATACCAAAAAAAGATTAACCCCCTCCGCAAGAAGTTATATAAAGACTATTTATAACCACGAACTTGCACTCATCTGGCAAGTTTAGTATGGACGAATCGCCATATGTCTAATTATTTCGGACATAGGCCGAATTCGGCATCTACCTCCAACATATATATTAAAAAAAATGTTATGGAGTAAACGGAGCAGAGCATATATGGTTGACATACAGGTAATTAATTACGTTGTATGCAATTATATTGTCTGCACGGGACTCCTTATTCGCTATTCCTGTGTGCATCAAGATGCTTTATATTAAAAATAAAACCTCTCAAATATCACAGGCTTATCCAATATATCACAAGGATGGACAGGGAACTTCCATGCAAAATTCACAAAAATGTTAAGAATATTAGAAAATTATTTTATTTTCCTTGAATTAACTCTGTATTTAAGCAAAAAAAAAGTAGCAAAATAAGCCTTCGGCATTTAACATTTTATGTAAAACTGGCTAAGTATTTTTACACAAATGAAGAAGGAAATTAAAGATAAAGGTTTAATACTATATCCGTATTGTAGCACATTTTTAGACAACTTCTTTATTTTTAAGATTTTGATGGTCAAACATCAACAAAATATTCCTTATGTTTGAACTAAATTTTCTCGAAAATAAAGACATATTTAAAATTCCGTTACAGTACGGAAATAGATTACAAAGCACGTGTGTTTGGAATTTTGAGTGTGGCTTAACACAACAGGATCGGGCTAAGCCTTAGGCAGATTTCTGAAATATAATATATATTTTCTTCGGCCACACATCCGCATTACCTGACCCCTGAGAGCAACCCAAAAGTACAGCGTAATAGACTCTTAAGTGTTTAATGATCCCACAGAGAAGAGAAAATGTAAGTGCAAGATAAACATTTGAATAGAAAAAAAAAAAAAAAAAAACTAGGAAAAAACTTTCCGACGACGGTTGTGTTTACAAAAAAATAATTATTTTATTTTGTAGATTTTCTTGCAGCAGTGGCGAAATAACCATACAGGATTTTTTTGAAAAGATGAATCCGCCACATAGGTATAGACATTTTTTATAAACTTAAAGCTTACACCCTGAAAATTATATTTTAAAATCACCGAAAATATAGTAAAAATTTAAAATTGATGGCATTTTTTGCTCTATAAACTGATATTCATGGGTTATTCCTTCATAGCCAATCAATATCCCCACTTTTGTAACATTACATTTTGATTTTTCTCTTCTCAAGCACTTTTTAATTCAGTTCAGGATATTCAAAGTGTGTTTTATAACAAGATTTGTTAACAAAAAATTTGCAAATAAAAATAAAATTATTGTAAAAAATAAAACCTTCACTCAACATAAATTAAAGTTAAAAAATATTTATATTGCTGTAATTTATGTTAAATTATTTATTAAATTTAGTTACTCATTAGCTGAGAAATAGACAAAAATAAATAACTCCAATGAAATGATGGTTACTTACTTTTCAATAATCCTCTGCCCCACAAAGCTTTCTAGACAGTAGGATCCTCTTTTGTCCATTGTTTGAATGTTTACATGGTGTTTGGCTATATATATATAAAACATTAAAATTTATTATACATGAATTTAAATACTGAATATAGATTTATTTTTAATTATAATTTTAAATCAGAACTGCAGGAATCTCATCTTTATTATCAGAGAGTGTGATATTATCATCATAGAAATAATTTATAAGCCTTAGTTATTTCTTGTATTTGTTTTAGTTTCTCTAGACAGAAATGTATGTACCATAAAAAGTTAAATATTTTCAGTTAGTTAAATTTGAGATCAGGACTAGAACTACATACTGAGAAATTTGTCTCTGAAAATGTTTAATTGTTAACACAATACAGAAGAATAGTATATTTCTCGATTTACAAACATTTATTTCAGTAGAGTTTTTACGAGATTATTAAAATGTACTGATCACATGTAATAACCCCAAATCAAAATAGAAAAATATATAATACCACCTACCATAAAAGTTCCTCTTTGATATCATATCTTAACATTGTTCCAATACATTGAAATCCTTTTAACTGGAGTTGTTCTCTGCATATAACATCTACCCTGACGATAAAAAAATATTTATTAGCGTGTTCGTTAAAAATTACATTTTTTCGGCGCCCCAAAAAGTCTTTCCTTTTGATGAAAAACTACGGGGAATTTTTTTTTAGTTTTAAACAAAAAGAACACGTGCCGACGGCCAATTGAAGTTTGCTATGAAGTGGATATTGAAGTGGCAATTTCAGTTGGCCAGCGGCACGTGTTTGTTCTATTTGTTTAAAATAAAAATTTCCCCGTAGTTTTTCATCAAAAGGAAGAATTTTTTGCCCCTAATATTTATAAAATAAAATATACTTATATGTATAAGTAAGGTCAAGAAATGGCAATATTTTTTGCCAACATATTTACAAATGTGGGTTATTATCAAAAAACTAGTAAGTTCCTTTAACTAAATTAGTGTAGTTCAAAAAATAAAGTATTAAATCTTCAATTTAAAAAAACATATTAATATTTATTATTAAATATTACAATTTATTCTTTACCATAAAATAAAATATTATCAATAAAATAAAGTATTGTTACATGCATGGGAAACCCAAAAGTGAAACAGCTATCACATCCGGTACTATGAGCATGAATGTCTATTTTGGGAGTTTTCTTTTGAATTCTTCAGTGGTAACAAAGAATCAAAATGGGAACGCCCGTGAATATTATAGTATGTCCAACGAGTCGACAAGATTTCGACAGAAGGCATTAAAAAATTACAGAGAAAATACAATTTACTGTGAATTAAAATAACAGAGACAACTGTCACTCAAGTATACTCTCATTGAACAGACTTTAATACCAGTTAATAACTGACCTATAAGTATCCAAGAACCCTTTAGAATGTACTGCAACTGATAACCTTGGCAGCCTAGAGTTGGAAAGAAAAAAAAAACAGCTTCATTCATTTCCTTTTCTTTCTGAAATAAACAAAAATCATATAATTAATTACGCTGTAGACACAATATATAGAAAAAAAAATAATACTCTAAAATTTTAAATGCATACTGTTTAAAATAACGAGAATTTAGGACGTAAAATCATTAAGATGACAAATACCAAAAGGTTTTAATGATTAACATAATAATAAGGTAATAATAATATTAAATATTAAAGAAAATTGATGTCTGCTCTATCTATTTTAAAATGTCGTTGCTTATTGATTTAAACTATTCATCAGAAGAAACAGTTAATTTAAACAATACACAACATCAATTTTCACAGTACTAAACGCCACTCTAGATTAAGATACTAGTCATCTGGTGGAGCTGGGACTGTGACATATTCAAAATGATAGATATAAAATAATAGAACTTACCTCAGTATTGTTCAGATGCTTCGATTGCCAGGAGCGCTAGCCATATATACAGCGCATCAAATTTATACATTTTCCTCAGATTTATGAAGATATCCATTCTAAAATATTACAGAATGCTCCAATTATATTTGAAACTAATAAAAATAGAAGCAATATGAAAATCATATAGTTGGTTTGTTAGATAAACTTATAGTTTGTTAACATAAAAGTGAAAACAAGAAATGTTCAAAATTTTAGCAGTTAGCAAATTCTTCCTTGGTTTGACAAATAAAATGTGATTTCATACTTATCACAACATTAAGGCTAAGCGCAAATTGAGTCGCGTATATCGCGCCATAAGCTCTGCTTGGTGGTCCGCAAATTGGGACGCAGTTTTTCAGCGACTCGTCTCTGCGACCGTATAAAAACGTCTGCATAAAAATGTCTGATTCGTCATCGAAACAATTATTGTTACTAAACCTTAGTTCTGAATCAGGTCCCGCAGGTAGCGCCGCGCTGCGCTTTGTTGCCAATTTGTACTGTCCCATTTATTTCTGTAGTTTACAAAAACTCGCGTCGTGCCAGGTCATATACACACGCGATATACGCGACCCAATTTGCGCTTAGCCTAACACAATTATAATGATATAACAATATACTATTTTTAAATTAACAATCATAAAAAAATAGTTGAGATGACAAAAAGCACTTGTTGATTTTATACTATATTGGTCACATTATTTCCATGGTCTGTATTTTAAAGCATATGATAGAGATAACTATATATGACAGGTTGGCAGACAGAGATACAAAATAAAAAGCGGTATAATGTTGCCGGTTCGTGCGTATGTAGGAAAGGTTAAGAATAAGCATGGTGGGAGTACAAATTACGGAGTTTACTTTTGTAGTATGTCTTTTTATTTTGTTTCTATGACTGAGGCTTAATAAGAATCTTTTGCAGTCGTGAGTAACTAATAATGGTGGAAATTAAAGGTTCAACCATAGATGCAAAATTTGTCGTAAACCCCCACTTCGGCGGTTTGAAATTCTGATGCAAAGTCTAATCTTTCTCCTTCTTCTAAATAAAAGGTAATACCACATAGAAGAAATGTATCAACCCAATTTTTTTATCTTTTTCTCTGTCCCCATCACTGTCTTACACGTTAAAATCCAGACCACGAGCCTGTGACATTTTCCAATGATATTTTCTATAATTATATAACAACTTCTATAACAACTTAATATTAAAAGAACTCATATATTTTTATTAAAATGTTGTTGCTTACTGATTTAAACTATTCATCAGAAATCAGAAGAAATAGTAAAATTAAACAATACTCAACATTAATTTTCACAGTGCTAAACGCCACTCTAGATTAAGTTACTAGTCATCTGGTGGAGCTGGGACTGTGACATATTGAAAGATATCTTCAAAATAATAAAACCTACCTCATTATTTTGTTCAGGTGGTTCGTTCATTCTCATTATAGAGATATTAGTCTGGAACAAAACATAATGTTCCAATTAAATTTCAAACTGATAAAAGTTAAAGATATAAATGTTATTTAATATTTATATCGCAATGTTGAACATAATTAAAGTAAAACTGTTACAAATTTATTTATATGAGAGAAGTAATAATAATTATTAAAATTGGATTCTATATTGGTACATGACATAAAAAAATCTAACTGATATAATAGTACTAATAGAACTAAGTATCTCTTTTATTAACCAAAAATTATTAATTTATATTAATTTATTTCCAGCGACCAATAAATTTGGAAAATTGCTTAGTAAAATAATAAATTTCATATTTTCTACATATCGTCCTATTGCTGCCAAAAGTCACTAACTAACATTTTTCCAAACAACCAAATTCAATCACTAACTATATTTTGAAGCGGAGAATTGATTGCATAAGTCATTAACTACGATTTCTGGCTATTTATGTTTTATTTTAATACCAAATAGTTACTAACTATAACATCTTTATGCAATGCAATTCATTTTTAGATGCATTTTTCTCGGAAGTAATAAAAAGTAAGTTAGTGACTTTTGGCAGCAATGGGACGATATATTTGTAATAGTATTACAATGTAATATATGTATTCGAAAATATAACGAATACATACTTCACACTAAATATAAAATAAATTATTTATTTATTTTCAAAAAACTATTGAACAAGACATCGATTCAGTATCAAAGAAACTGTTTTAATGTATCATCTTGATTCACTCCAACGTCCTATTTTAAACACATCGGAGGCGACAAGAGGGTATTTATTTTGCACACTTTTTGTCACAATAAGCCATGAAAAATGCTTATTTATATGTATATTTCTATGCTTTTTGAACCGGTAATCAGTGATATAAAAAGAGAAAAACATATTGAAAGGTTTCAAAAATCACATCTTTTAAGCAGTATAAATGAGTTAATTTATACTTACAGAGTCCATTTCAAACTAATCCACTATCTGTCAGTGATAACAACTGTCAAATTGACGTTACATTTTACAATTGGATAGATTTAACTCTCCAGATAAATTACACCTATCCATACTCAACTAAAACAAAATCAATATATTTAATTATAATTATTTAACAAATAGCCATATTAACTGTTATAAGATTTTATATATTCAGTTTTGTAAGTTATAATCACATAGATTCAGGTGAAACACGGACAAAAGTTTCATCACCATAAATATAGTTTTTACTAATTTTTAATAATACAGTTTAAGATAATTTTCATAAGAATGTAATTGTTAAAAATTACAATCTTATGGAAATTATTAAATTATAAAAGAAAACATTCAATTAAGATATATTATAAGAAAAAACTCAGCAATAAATTAATTATACTTAAAATATTTAATTATTTAAAATTAATAATAACAATCTTCTTATTATCAATCTTACAAAACAATGATCAATTTATTTATGATTTTAAGTTTATTATATTTATGTATAGTCTATGAATAAGAATTACTAGTATTTTAAACTCACCATCAGTTTTGTTTTTTTACAATCCATACTGCATTTATATTACCAGAGCTCAGAAACAGCCATTCCAAATACCTAAAATTACAAAATATATTAAAATTCATCTACTAACATAAAAATATATAACTATTTTGCAAAAATTATCAGTTGGCAGTGTAGTCAGCACTAGGTTTTTTGGGTAACCTCAGCAGAGGGAGCCTGCCAAATATCTCATCATGTATAAGTTATGAAGTGTGAAAGTTATGCGTAACCAAATAAATGAGACAGCAGCACTGAATGCATGTTATGCACATATACATTCACGCTTGAAATATGGAATTATCTTTTGGGGAAATTCTTCAGATATTAGTAGGATATTGATACTACAAAAAAGGCTGATACAAACTATGTATGGAATGCATTCGAAAGATACGTAGTCTATCTAAAATTTGCTCTATGCTAAAGGTGTATTTATTTCAAAAAATATCCTAACTGTTATTAGTATTTATGTCATGGAATCAGTGTTATTTGTAAGTGATAACAAAGATTTATTTTTAGAATGCATTAGAAATCATGATCATGATACAAGATTGTACAAAAATTTAAAATCAGAAAAATGTAATTATACCTTGATTCAACAAAATGTAAAATTTAATGCTGTAAATATTGACAATTCCTTGCTATTGAAAATTGCTATTAGAAACTTGCCAAAAAACAAACTAAAGTCTGCTTTAAGGGGGCATTTAGTAAATAAAGCATTTTATTCAGTGCAGGATTTTTTCTTAGATAGCTCAAAGACTGCTCTCGCCGTCGGAAGTGGATTCTAATTTGAATATTAAAAAAATGTAGTTGTATATTTCTAAGATATATCTAGATTTAAGGAAATTATGTTAGTTTTTTCTACCCATAATCAATAGCATATTATATTTTTGTTTTTCTTTGTTTAGACGGGTTCCACGTTCATATGAACATTATTAAATTTGTAATTTTTTTTACTGGAATGAATAAACTATTATCTATCTATATCAATACATTATGAAGTGTGTAAAAGCAAAATTCACTGTATCCTTCCATACTAATAACTTAAACTTTGATTATATTATTCCCAGAACATTTTCTGCAAATAAAAATCTACTACTGTCTATATCGTCAGCTTTATAACGAAAAGGTGTATCTAAATTTTTGGCTATATTAAGATATCAACTTCATAACATGCACAATGGGTCATTTTTTAGCATGGAAAATTCGCTGTATCTCAATATTATACCTTACTCATTTTATATTCTTTTAAAAATTTGCTCTATGCTAAATACTAGAATTAATAAATAATTAGAATTTTTTAATTGCTCTCCTCAAAAGTTGCAAAAATCGAGATACACCTTTTCATCACAAAGCTATACAAAGCTTACAATATTTCATTTTATTTAATCATATATTTTCTTCTGAAGGATAAGACATGTTTTTCTTTTACATGCTTCAAATATTAATTTATATAAAATATAAAACAAACCTCTAGGCCATGTCTCAACTCCTTAATAAAGACTTTCGTCTTTCGAACATAACATGTTCAGTTGAAGAGGTTGTAAAATGTATCTCATTCAGTATAAAGTTAAACTTTGTTTGTCACCATCCCCAAATAGTTCCATCCGATTAAGATAACTAAAAATTATATTTATCAATATAACAAGTTTTATTAGTATTATTGCATAGTAAAATTGGCATTATTATTATATTCAGACATCCAAGGAAGTTTTATTCATTCATTAAAATTTCAGTTGATAAAAGTTTTTATCATCATTTCAATTTATAAAGCATATACTTAAATTATGGTTTTATTCTAGATACATACCACATGATGAAGCTAATATTCCAGGCTCCAGTAGTCATGGCTATTGCTATCTCGTCCCTACTGGCGTTCTATCAAGAATCAAGATGTTTTCATTTGATTTCAGTAAATGTAATTTAAATATATCTCCAATGTTTTGTTTCTCTTGAACTAGATTTTATTTAATATGTTTTTTACCAATTCTCTTAGTGTACTTTCTCGATGCCATTTTTGAGACTGGCTCATTCATCTTGCTATAGCAATTTTCCAAATTCTTGTACCAGAAATGTTGCAATATGAATAGCATGGGTAATTATTTCTATAGCTCTTTGATGTACTTAAATTATATAGATACATTGATAGTACATACAGATAGTCTAAAATCAATATGAAAACTTAATATATTTTTGTAAAATAGTTTTTCAGACTATTATTTTAATTTGTAAGAATAATATAAAATAAACAAGATTTTTTCTAACATCACACAGGAATAACATATGATAAAAGCTTTGAGATAAAAGAGTTAAATTATTTGCTCAAAGTAAAATTTTAGTAGTAATTTTAAAAAATGTGAGATACAAAGACCAGGAATATATTTTATTTTAAATATATTCCAACGATGTGAGATATCTCAATGTTCTTTTGCACTAATTCGACCTAAATCTACATGATTAGTATAAAAGTAGGAGATACCAAGTGCTCATTCTAAATAGGTAAAAAGATTTTAAAGGGTTTATTTTATTCTTTTATTACTACTAAAATACAGGCAAAATATAAATTTATGGATATCAAAAATGTAAAAAATACTTACTTGATTTACTGATGAGCCATAATCGCGAAAAAATAATAGGATTTTTTTCTAAAATCAATGCCGGGTATCCGATAAAAGCGTTCACGTGTAACGTCAGTACAGAACCATTGCAAGGATGAAAAGAAATAAAAAAGGAGTTGTCAGTTCAGTACCGCCAGTACTTCAGTTTCAGTACTTGTTTGTCTGTAGAAAAGTAAAACGAGAAAAAGAATGTTCTCTGAGAAAGAGAAAAAGAGAGGAAGACTCCGCCTTCTATTGGTCCATCTGTAGATAACTTTTCTTCATTGCTATTGGTGTACATACATCACGTGACCGGATATCAATAAGGTATTTCGTTTGGATTCTAGGAGCTTGATCATATATAAACATGTTTCTGCAATGTCATATATAAATTATATATAGTATACAGATGGTATACAGCTAAAATAATTTTCTGTTGGATTATTGTTTATCTTAAAAAAAAATTGAACAGAAGAATCTTCGGTAATTACCATAGGTAAATCTTCGTCAAGAATATACCTGCCTCTGATAATACCGTACGATCGAAAAAAAACGGCGTCAGCGATGGCTATGAAAATGAAGATCGTTGGGAAATGTCATCGATTTCCAAGCCAACTGGACGCCGGTTTTTTATCATACGGTACTTTTTCGTTTTTCATATACCGTGTGTGGATCCGGTGGCTGACCTTGAAGCCCAAATTTGCTGCATTTGATCATCGATACTACGCAAGCGCACATCGTCGATGTTGCCAAATTGCAGTTTATTTTCGAATTATTTGCAGTTAAAATTTTTTTTTAGTGTTAATCTCTGGTGTTAATAATAATACAAATTCTATAATTAATTTTATAATTTCAGATTAATCTTGATATCCAAAATTAAGGTAAGAAGAATATGAATTGAATTGAAGGGATAATGAAGATTGTGAAATGAAAGTATTATGAATATATAAAATTGTAATAATGATAACATTTATTATATATATTTACATTAGAATTAAAAATTATCATTTACGGATTTTTTTTTAATGGTTTTAAACTTATTAGAATTATTTAATTTCTAGTTATTTACAGGCAACAATAGTTTTGATTATATGTATTGATGTATTGAAGTACTACCATGACAAGTCTTATAGAACAATATACACGTCAATGAGATAGAGGTAACATTTTACCTATAATGTTACTAATATAATATATTTTGATTATAATGTTTGTATCATAATTTCTTAAAAATATAGTGGATTAATAGCAATTTTTAGACATATATTTTATCGAAGAGTGTGTTGATAAGACTAAAATAAGCTGAATAAGCTTTATGTTGTATACGCCATCTATTGGGGCAATGGTAAATTAACATAACCCATGTATTTACGGTTGGTAGCACTAAGAATAGGTTAGTAAGTTTGTTTTTATAAGGTTCCTAGTAACAAAAAAGAGAGTAAGAAGAATATGGCGGCAGCATATTCAGTTTGTTCGTTTTAGTTTTTGTTCTTGTAATTGTTAACAGAAATAAAACTCGTGAAGAGTAAAAAGACCTGGTTTAATTAAAAAGTAAATTCACGGACCTCAAAACAACAGGTTATGTGCCCAGATCACAGCCCAGATCACAGCCCAGACACAGAATAGAAAACCAAGGTCTCGCACTAAAAACGGCAAGGACAAAACGACAAGTAAAATTTCGGGAAAGTGTATCGGAGTGTTAAGAGTAAAAACATTAAAAGTAAAAACAGTAAAACCGAAAAAATGTCTGAAAATAACGCTGCATTAAAACTAAATGGAGATAACTGGCCAGTCTGGAAATTTCAAACAAGCATCATACTAAAAGGTCGTAGTTTATTTGAAGTAGTGGATGGATCCAAAGTAAAACCAACCACAGGAGTTGAAGAAATAAATAAGTGGATGAAAGAAGATGCAAAGGCCCAAAATTACTGGTAACAAGAATGGAAGAAGGACCATTAACGCATGTACTGTCTTGTGAAATGTCCAAAGAAATATGGAGTAAACTAAAAACAGTATATGACAAGGAATCAGTGGTGAGTGTACACCTTTTACAAGAACGTTTCTTCTCACTGCAGTTTGATTCAAGTGTTAGTACCTTTTTTATCTAAAATAGAAGAAATAAAAATGAAATTAAAATCTGCAGGCGAAACTCTATCAGAGAAAATGGTAATAACCAAGATCTTAATGTCTCTCCCAGAGCAATTTAAGCATTTTAGATCAGCGTGGGAATCTGTTCCAGTAGATAACCAAAGTCTCGAAGAGTTAACTTCAAGATTACTTCTAGAAGAAGAAAGATGTAAGTCTTTGGAAAATGCAACTGCATTGGCAACTAAAACCAGTGAAAAACCTCAAGGAAAGAAATGTTATATATGTTCAAAAGGTAGGCCATATTGCTAGAGATTGTTATTTCAGGCACAAGAAGCAAAAGAATGAAAAGAGAAAGTGTGCAGTTTCTGTAGAAAAAATGGTCATTTAGTCCAAACATGTTGGGTCAGAAAAAAATAAAGAAGGAAATCAAGAAAACAAAGGCATGTCAAGTAAAAAGAAAGAAGAACCAGAAGTAAATGCTTTTATGGTCAACTCTAAAACTAATACCAAGTCACATGAATGGTTTTTGGATTCAGGTGCAAGCGAGCACATGTCATGGAACAAGGAATTATTTCAGGAAATGTACAAAGTAAAAATCCCTAGAATGGTGCAAGTAGGAAATGGTCAAAAGCTAGAGGTAAGAGGTTATGGCAAAATTAAGTTGTGGGCATATAATGGCACAAGTCTTATTGAAACTTACCTTTCTAATGTATTATATATACCTGATTTAAAGTTCAATCTTTTTTCTGCTGGTTGTGCGCTTGATAATGGATATTTCTTGTCCTCTGATAATGAAAAATGCACTTTTTATGACAAAAATGGAAAGATAAGAGCTCAAGCTATAAGACAGAATAAGTTGTATACAATGTGTTTTTCTCAAGAAAAGTCTTATGTCAAATGCTTACAAGATCAACCTAAAAATATCCTAACAACTAACTTAAACTCTGACTGTATGAAAGTTAAAACCATAGACTGTTTAAAAGAATGGCACTGTAAATTAGCACACCAAAATGTTAACTATATAAAACACTTTTTAAGGAACAATAACATAGAATTTGTGGATGAAAAGTTTGTATGTGAACAATGCTTAACTAGAAAACAGCATAGACATCCCTTCCATGAAAGTGAGTCAAGAGCTACAGTACCATTGGAGCTAGTACACACAGATGTATGTGGACCTATGGAGCAAGAATCTTTAGGAGGATCTCGATACTTTCTCCTATTAAAAGATGACTATACTAACTACAGGTATGTCTATTTTCTAAAGAATAAGTCAGAAGTAAAGAAAAAGTTGGAAAATTTCATAACTTTAGCTGAAAGAGAAACAGGTTACAAAGTGAAGGCTCTAAGATCAGATAACGGTCTTGAATTTTTGAACAAAGAGATCAAAGAACTGTTAGAAAACAGAGGAATAAGGCATCAAAGATCGGTTGTATATACGCCACAACAAAACGGAAGAGCAGAAAGAGAAAATCGAACCTTAGTTGAGGCAGCTCGAACAATGTTGCAAGGTCAAAAAATTACACAAGAATTTGTGGGCAGAAGCTCTCAACACAGCTACTTTCATATTAAATAGAACAGGAGTAAGCTCAGAGCAAAATAAAACACCATATGAGTCATGGTACAAAAGAAAGATAGACCCTAATATTTTTAAGAGGTTTGGAACAAAGGTCTCGGTACATATTCCAAAGGAGAAAAGACTAAAAGTGGGATGCAAAGAATATGTTTGGTATATTTTGGGGATATAGTCAAGATGTAAAAAGGATACAGAATATACTTACCTGAAAAGAACACAGTAGAAATTCTTCGTGACATAATATTTCTACCAGAAAAAGACATAGAACCTGAGCGTGTCATAGAAGAAAATAAAGAAACAGTAAAACAAGAAAATCAAGAGCTAATTGCAGAACTAAACACTCAAAATGAAGCTGAGTCTAGTAGTGACAGTGAGTTGGACATTGAAGAGGAAGAAAGACACTTAGAAGAGAACGTAGATAGTGACAGTAGTGAAAATGAAGACCAAGAAGACAATAGAAGATACAACTTAAGAAGGAGCATAAATCTACCGTCAAGATTCAATGACTTTGACATGGACAACGAAGATATAGGTTTGTTAGCCTGTATTGACACAGATGAACCCCTAACATATGAAGATGCTATGGCAAGCAGTGATTGGAGCAAATGGAAAGAAGCCATGGAAACAGAAATCAAAGCGTTGGAAGAAAATCAAACTTGGATTTGTGTGAGTGATGAAAGTGTAGGTGAAAATAAAGTCATTCAGTGCAAGTGGGTTTTCAAGAAGAAAAGAAATGACAGTGGAAATGTTTTTAGATTTAAGGCAAGATTAGTTGTTAAAGGTTTTCAACAAAAGGTATATCATTTTCAGATATTTATAGTCCAGTTGCAAAATTACCATCAATAAGAGTTTTCTTAGCTTTATGTATCAATTTCATTTAAAAATACATCAATTAGATGTATGTAGTGCTTTTTTAAATGGGGATATTCAAGATGATGTCTATATAAAACTTCCAAAAGGGTTTAAAGAAATTGAGGGTACAGTTTGTAAGCTTAAAAAATCATTATACGGTTTAAAAACATCACCAAAGAACTGGAATGATAAATTTCATGAATTAATGTCAAAAATGTCATTTAAAAGATCTGAATATGAGTATTGCCTTTATATCAAAACAAATGTTAAAAGTAAAATGTATATTTTAATTTATGTTGATGATTTGCTTGTAGCAGGAACAAACGAAAAAGAAGTAGACAATGTAATTAAAATTTTGAATAATACTTTTAAAATGAATAATTTAGGGCAAATTAAACATTTTTTAGGGATGAATATAACTCAAAATTTATCTGAAGGGAAAATTACTATAAATCAGACAAACTATTTAAGAGGTGTTCTTGAAAAATTTGGAATGTTAAATTGTAAACCATCTAAAACACCTATGAATAACAATTTTCATCATGATTATTTAAAAAGAGTAAAATCTGAAAATTTAGAGATAGAAAAGAGATGTCGAATGGCTATTGGGTCGCTTATGTATGCAATGCTTTGCTCAAGACCCGATATATGTGTATCTATTAGTATACTAAGCAGATATCAAACTTGTGCAAGTTATGATCTTTGGAAAGAGATTAAAAGAGTGTTAAGGTACATTCAAGGCACTATTGATATGAGCTTGGTATATCAAAAGAATAATAATTGTGAATATTTAATTGTAGGCTATTCAGATTCGGATTGGGCAGGTGATTGTACTGACAGAAAGTCTACAACAGGATATGTTTTTAAAGTTTTCAATTGTACAGTATCGTGGGCTTGTCGGAAACAGTCATCTGTTAGTCTGTCTTCAACTGAAGCTGAATATATAGCCTTAAGCCAATCTGTTAGTGAGGCTTGTTGGCTTAGATATTTATTTTATGATTTAAACATATGTGAAAACTATGTTACAGTGTTAGTTTTTGCTGACAATCAAAGTGCTATTAAAGTTTGTAAGAACCCTGAGTTCCATAAGAGACTGAAACACGTGGACATTAGATATCATTTTGTTAGGAATAAAATCAAAGATAATGTAGTGATGTTAAAATATATTAGTACTCATGATCAACAGGCGGATTTGTTTACAAAACCATTAGGTTTTACACAGTTTAAAAAACTTAGAGAAAAGTTAGGTTTAGATTGTGTAGAATAGTTTAAAAATTAAGAAAAAATTTGTTATGTATTTAAAGGAAAATATTGTTAGTCAAATGTTTAGTAAATTTACCATTGAGGGGGGGTGTTGTATACGCCATCTATTGGGGCAATGGTAAATTAACATAACCCATGTATTTACGGTTGGTAGCACTAAGAATAGGTTAGTAAGTTTGTTTTTATAAGGTTCCTAGTAACAAAAAAGAGAGTAAGAAGAATATGGCGGCAGCATATTCAGTTTGTTCGTTTTAGTTTTTGTTCTTGTAATTGTTAACAGAAATAAAACTCGTGAAGAGTAAAAAGACCTGGTTTAATTAAAAAGTAAATTCACGGACCTCAAAACAACACTTTATGTTTTATCTTTTTCTCTTTAGAACGGAGATGGTTTGTGTCGTAGAATACATTACTGTATTTAATATCGTGTACTTTGATATTCTTTTCTTAATTTACTGTAATTTCTTGTTTCCTATAATGCCAAATCTTGACAATATGGTGAAGGTTGAGTTTTGATCTTATTAGTTTTATTCTTTTATCAAAGATAATTCTACTACTTGTGTTAACTAACTTGTGTATATTCTTTGGTTTTATACCTATGTTTATACAAGACCAAATTAAGACTTAGTTAGTTTGTGATTTATATTAAGATCTTTCTTATAATATTTGTTATGTCTTAATCTTAATACTATATTATGCTTTTGTCTGGAAAATAAATGTTAAAATATCTTAATTTTGCATATCCTATTCCATATCCTTCCATTAGAAAAAATATGGTTTATAAATCATATATGCTAAGAAAATCACATAAATTACTTGTAAGGTAAGAATAGAGAAATCTTAAGGTAGCAGAAAAATAAATAATAAGCAGAATTAAACAAGGTAACTGTTAATTAATGTTGCTGAAGCTGATTGTACAATTTTAATTACGGAGGCTAAAAGGTCTTTTAAGGCCTCCGTAGTTTTGATGTAATGTTAAAAAAACCTATTATGAACATGACATGGAGCTACAGCATTTAAAAATTAAAAAAATAAGAAAAAACTTGGACACGTCCTTTTTAATTTCCCGAATTTTTAATAAAACACTTTTTAAACGTAGCATAATAATCTAGAGCAATTAGATTAATTATGGGAATCTAGAGTTTTATTTCTATATAATTTTATTGACTATGAAAATACATAATAAGCGTTCACGTGTTGTGCGAAATATTAAAATAATATACCGCGTACTATGATTGAAAAAAAAATAGCGTCAGCAATGACTATGAAATGAAGATCGCTGTCATTTTATGGAAATGTCCTCAATCGTCATTTCCCAGCCAACTGGACGCCGTTTTTTCGATCATACGGTATATATTGACAAAAAAAACACTAAAAAGCACATATTTGTTTTCTACTGAAAATAATTCCAAAACAACTCGCAATCTGGCAACATCGAAGATGTGCGCATGCGTAGTGTCTGTGACTATATGCAGCAAAAACTCGTTTCAAGGTCAGCCACCGGATCCACACCATTACCCAAAAAAATATTAACTAAAAAAACATTCAATTTCCAGGAGTGCACTAAAATCGAAAAATCTGAGCGCCAAAATATAGAAATGGATATTTTCGAACATGCGTCGGTTAAGTAGAGCTGTAGCATCGTAGAGACTAAAATATTCAACAAAGTAACTTAGAAATTAATTCAACTGTATCTGTACAATATTTTATTGAGTTAAATTGTTTTTGCGGTCAGGTTTCCCGGACGCTTTTCCAAATTCGGGCCTGACCGCCCTGGACACTTTAAAGATCCGGGTAAATCCGGACGTATGGAAACTCATAACTATGTCATCTCTGTGATATAACTATTTATTTACTTCATAGATTTACCTTCAATCTACTAATATACCTATAATACCTATACATACAGTACGGCTGCCGGATCTGTGTCTACGAAAGAAATGCAGACAAAAAACATTTAAATAAGCAGCAACATATTTTATACGTCGACTTGACGAGTACATCATCGCAAATCGCTCCGCCCACTCATTTTATTCGCTACTTGCAAATTTGTCGAATTTTTATTGATGGGACGCGTCGCCGAATTTTTTACGAAAAACATCGATAGAAGATTGTTTCCCCTCTCACGGATACCCCGTAGCTACAGAACGGACAGACGTACCACGTACCGTACTTTATTTATTATTTAATAAGGTTTATATAATATTCAATGTTATTTTTTTTCAGGTTCACATAAACCTGTATATGCTCACAATTTTTTCCAATACAAATTGTGGTTCTCCATGAAGAGCCCGTGTAGATGAGATGCCACCCCCCGTCTAGGGTAAATCAAACTAAGACCCTCAGCTAGGACCGTTGATTGAAAGCAATGCTAGGGGCCTAGGCTAGGACCCTTAAATTTTCTAGGTTACTTTTCTTTTCACTGTCAAAGTGTACTTGGATTCTAGGGAAATATAAAATTAATAATATTTATAATATAAACATTGTTCAACATTAATGTCTAAAACTAATTCAATTGTTAAAAATTATAAAGAAATGAACACTAAAATATAATGTTTAAAATATTTTATTATAATAATTACAATGAAAACGGTCGATAATTATTTAGCTTATTGGAAATTACAAATAAAACTATAGATATAACTACATTATACATACTATACTTATATGTTTCTACTTATATACAAAATCTATATTAAAATAATTTTAAAACTATTTCAAAATATCACCATGCAATTATCATCAACAAATTATTATGTAAAATGAGTACTATTAATTGTTGATAAAAATCGCATTAATTTATAACTTATAAAGCATTCCACGATTATTTAATATTGGGCACATAATTTAGACTAGTATTTTTGTATGAAAATTTTAGAATAGCAAAATAAAGCTCTAATACACCACAAATAAAAATGATGCCTCACAAGGAATGTAAACATTTGTATGATAATTCCCACACAAAAAAATAATAGTTTGTCATGGTCTCAAGTCTATAATAATAAACACAAATTCTGACTTAATAGAAATTATTTTGAAAGTTAAATACACAAGGAAATTTAAAACACTATATGTAAAACATTACGAAATTCACCAAAATCCAGATTTTGGTGATATATTTCCATATTTCCTTTTATACAGGGTGGTCCAAATTGTATTCGGGATACTTCGGCAGCATATTCTGGAGATAAAAATAAGTAAAAAGGTTCGTATAAATTTATGTCCTAAAATGCTTCGTTTCGGAGATACAGAGTGTAGAATATTCATTTTTATTTCTCCTTTTTCCAAATAGTTTCTGACTAACGTCGATATATGGATAAATATGGTGGGAGTTTTTTACATGAGAAATTTTATTTCAATATCAATATGACTCCTACTTGTAGTTTACCTACCTATTGTTTAATTAGTTGGAAGAGTAAAAACTTTTTTGTCCGTACCTGTATAAAACTACTGAGTGAAGAAATATACAATTCCGCCATTTTTACCTAAAACAGGTCTCTTGGTAAAAATTGCTACAAGTTATTTGGAATCTCCTACTTGTAGTTTACCTACCTATTGTTTAATTAGTTTGAAGAGTAAAAACTTTTTTGTCCGTACCTGTATAAAACTACTGAGTGAAGAAATATAGAATTCCGCCATTTTTACCTAAAACAGGTCTCTTGGTAAAAATTGCTACGAGTTATTTGGAATCGAAATAATCAATACATCTTTGACAAAAATTGAACATGTTGACTGGATAGTTATTAGACCGAAATCATAAATCAGATTTTTTTGTACCAAAGGTTCAACAGAAACTGTTTCATTATAATTTTTTCTAGAAAAATTATGATTAATTTAAAAAAATAATAAGTTCCCAGATTTATCATTTCATTCAAATAACTATCTAGTCAACATGTGGCATGTATTGATAATTCACATTCCAAATATCTGGGGAACAATTACTTATACCGATATTTACCAAGAGACCTTTTTTACGTAAAAACGGCGAAAATGTATATTTTTTCACTCAGTAGTTTATCATGTCAAAAAACACTCAGACACCAATGTTCATCCAAATATATACGTTAGTTCAGAAATTATTTGGAAAGCATCGAAATAAAAAAGGAACTTCTACACCCTGTATCTCCGAAACGAAGCGTTTTAGGACATAAATTTATACAAACTTTTTTACTTATTTTTATCGGTAGAATATGCTGCCAAAGTTTCCCGAATGTAATTCAGACCACCCTGTATTATAGTAATTTTAAAGATGATTTTTTAATTTTTATTCGCGCACATTCAATTTAGTACTTAAAATGGGTCTAAAAAATTAATTGAAACAATATTCAAATTTATAATTAATTCTTAAAAACTTTCATACATTTCAATAATCATTATAGCGGTCGGTCATGTCTATGTTTTATGACAAAAGAAATAAAAATTATTCACTAGCGTTACCTAAAAATGCCTTTTAATAAATCATTATTAAATTAATATTCAACGCATAAATCGCATTTCAACTTATCTAGAATTTTTGATTTGACATTTCTAAGAAGATTTCTATTTGAAAGAAAAACAAACAATTTTTTAAGCCCTATTTCACTTACAAAAATAATTTCGAAAAAATCAATATTTGATTAGCACGTTGAATTCACCTAGCGCGTTACATTGGTCCCTCGATGATACTCACCTTCATACAATAATAATAGCAACTGCGTATGAGGAATATAATGGTGAATAGGAAGGCCCCTATATATGCGACGTACATGCCGCCGTGCGTTTTAGCGTATCCGTATGTGCCTACCGTTACTCCAATTCCAATGGCGAGGCATATAATAGTCAGGAAAAAGAAGATGTTACCACGACCTCGGGAATAATCCGGACCGACGGATGACACGTTGCGACAGTGGGGACAACGGGCCAGAGCGTTATTCAACGTGTTGAACTGTAAACGGAATAAATGAGTTAAATAAATATAAGAAACAAAATGGTTTCAAACTAATAAATATGAATTAAGAACAAAATAACTAACAGTAAGCAAGATATAAAGATTGACAAAGCACGGTTCAGACGTTCCTCTTAGGACGTAATGCAGAAATTTACTTGTGTTTTTCACACAATGGATTGTGTCACAATCACGTCACAATCCGTTGGATAAAACCAGTGACTAAAGAATTGAAGGATAAATAACACCCGAGAGCAAATTGTTACGATGTCACCAAACAGTGCCGTGGCATATATTTTTCTTAATTTAGCTGTTTGAAGAGATATTTATATTTTTTGATAATTGTTTTAACTACGCCTATACGGTGGTATCATACTAATCAATTACGAAAAAACGTACTAAAATTGTCGCTGATGACTCATTCGTCGCCATCAAAAAAATGGCGTCTAATGTCACAAATTCTGCTGCAGCCCGTATATGGGCGTTACATGTCCTTATATTCTTTAGCCATTGGATAAAACCGTTTTAGGGAGAAATTTAGACACAAATACAAATGTTTTAGGTTAGGGATACTTCGAGATGTAATTTATACTAAACACATTTTGTGTTTATGTTCTATTATACCGGGTGCCGGCTGTGTTTTAAAAGTGGCGCACCCCCTATAACTTTTTTATTTTTTCAGATAAAAAAACGAGATTTGGTATGTTAGTATATGACATAAATTAGGATTTGATTGACGTATTCGATTGTTTTCGGTCACTTCCTGTTTCACCAAAAATGACTACAACTTTTGATTTTTAAATGGCACGGTATTCGATATTATACGGTATTTTTTACTTTAATCAATAGAAAATGACACTCTGAATAGAAAGACATATCATATGTCAGCTTTTGACATTAATAATAGTCAGGAAAGGAGTGCCATTTAAAAATGAAAAGTTGTAGTCAGTTCTGGTGAAACAGAAAGTGACCGTAAACAATTGAATATGTCAATCAAACCTAATTTATGTCATATAGTAACATACCAAATCTCGTTTTTTAATCTGAAAAAATAAAAAAGTTACAGGGGTTTGAGACGCACTCGGTATAAACCTACATTTAAAAAAAAAACTGAAACTCGAAATTTTGACAACGTTTCGTGCGCTACGAAACCCAATCATCAATGAAACAAATAAAAAATCGTCCGATTTAAATGTAATTTGCTATTCGATAGATTGGACCAAGGCCAACTTGATCGTTTAAGACACGTGTCACTGTAACAGTTAGTTTTGACGTAAGAAACGTCAAAAGTTGATGTCGTCCAATCGCGACCAAATTTGGTAAATAGGCTATGTGAGCCACGGTGCTCACGGTTCCACCCTGCAAAGTTCGATACGAGGTTTCGTTTGCATCTTCATCAGGGTGGGACTAACGATTTGATATTGAAGAAAAATGATGGTCGATTTCGGCATAATTAGGAACGGGCTACAGGATGACGCGCTCGACGTTTCAAACCGATGACTCTAAATGGACGAAACCATCAGGATTTTTCCTAATTATGTATCAATTGGAACCAAACTCGGAACGCGAATAGAGGTAACCTAACCTAACCCGAATGGAGTCCTCAGACGGACAGACAGACAGACGAAAGTAACTTCAAATATGCGCACATAGTGTACACCCAATTTTTTTTCAATCATACGGTATATGTATATAAAATGGACCTTTAACATCTCTACCCCACACTATATTACATATTTTAAAATGTGGATCAACCTGCTCTCACTACCGGTTTCGGGGCCCTACTCCATCATCAGGTGAGCTTGGATCGATTCCACAAAACGACAAACACAGCGCAGAGTACCTAATTCCGAACTTGTCGGAAAGTAGCGGTTAGATATTAAGTGCCGCACGGGAGATAGAGGCCTGCGTGCAATGGTAGTACTTTCGTACCACCGAGGCGCAACTATCGATAGTAAGAAGATGGTAAAAAGGCTTTTTTTCAGGCAAGCCAAATTATAAAATGGAAAATAAATTTCTTGCAGTATAGGTATATAATAAAATTATATAAGAATTCTTGCCATTCATGCCAGGTTGATCCACATTATGACAAACACAGCGTGGAATTAAATTTCTATATCAGCAGTTAAGTGGCAAAAATTCTTATATAATTTTATTACATATTTTAGTAATATTCATAAAGTAACATTCATAAGGTCAGTATTACAAAATCTTTTCTTATTTTTTTTTCAATATTGACTGTCCTTGATGATATACACATAAAATAATTTATTTGCATTTGATGAATAATCTTGCATATGTGTAAAATTTAAACAAATACAGTAGATTCCCTTATCTTAACTTGTTCTACTTACATATAAATAAATGCATAATCATTTTATTAATAATATTATTTTTAGAGTGGCAATTTTAATTGGAAATTTGAACTGAGCGAGAAAATACAACATACCTACCATTTAAAATTTAACTTATAATGTAAATATAAGCTTGAGGGTGCATCCACACTATCCTAAAAACGGCGTATCCTAAAAACGGCGTATTTGAATGGCGAAAGCCTCATGGACTGGTCAGACGAGCACAACCTATACCTCGTATTTAACGCTAAAGATCCCGGTACTTTTAAGTCTGCAGCATGGAAACAGGATCATAACCCAGATTTGTGTTTCGTTTCTTCAGATAGCAATGAACATCCGCTTCCAACTATACGAACTGTCCTGGATGATTTTCCACATAGCCAACATCGCCCTGTGTTAATAGAAATTGGGTTGAGTATCCCTTTAGTAAAATCTTTTCCCCGCCCGAGATGGAACTTCAATAAAGCAAATTGGGAAACATTCTCCAATAATCTCGACAAATGCATAGGTTGGATCCCCCTCTAGGGAGAAATTATGAAAGGTTTGTTGGTGCTATTATTAGCACCGCCAAGAAAACCATACCTAGGGGTTATAGAAAGGAGTACATCCCGGGATGGGGCGAGACTAGCGAAAGGCTATACAGGGAATTTCTAGAATCAGGTGACCGCGAAATAGCTGACGAACTTCTGCACAGTTTAAACTCTGCGAGACGCCAGAAGTGGACTTAACTTAGTGGAAAGTCTAAACTGTTGAAAGTTTAGACTTTAGAAAATCCAGCAGAAAAGCTTGGGCATTATTACGAAAACTGGGTGGAGATAATCAAAGAACAAGAGTGGACACTCCTGTGACTCCAAACGAAATCGCCTCTAATATTGTTAATACCTCAAGAGCACCAAGGGACCGTGCAGACACAATCGAAATCAAGCGACAATTAAAACAGCTTAAATCATCCTGTGCTGAGGAGACAGCATACTCCCAGCCTTTTACCTTCGAAGAAATATTAGCTGCATTATAACATATTAAGGCTGGCAAAGCTCCGGGATTTGAGGGCTTCCATTCGGAATTCCTTCTGAATTGTGGTGAATTTACAAAGCGATGGTTGATGCACTTTTTGACTGACATAATTAAAACAGGCACTATTCCACAGTCACTAAAAAGCGCTAAAATCATTGCCATCTTAAAGCCTGGTAAGCCTAACGACCAGCCACAAAGTTATCGCCCAATCGCACTGCTGAGCACAATCTACAAGCTTCTGGAGAGACTAATCTACAACAGAGTAAGCCCAAAGATAATAGAGAGTATACCGATTGAACAGGCTGGCTTTCGTCCTGGACGTAGCTGCGTGGATTAGGTTCTGTCCCTAACAACTTACATCGAAGCAGGATTTCAACGCCAAGAAAAAACATCAGTTGCTTTTATTGACTTGACCGCGGCGTACGATACAGTTTGGAGACAGGGACTGATCTGTAAGCTAGCTAAAGAAATCCCCTGCCGAAGGACCGTCAGCCTGGTCGACGATATGCTCCGAAATAGACTCTTTCAGGTAAAACTGGGAGAGAAAGAGAGCAAAAAGATGAAACTTAATAACGGATTGCCACAAGGTTCTGTCTTAGCTCTATTGCTGTTTAATTTATATATCGCTGAGATGTCTGCTACTTCAGCTAGAAAATTTGGGTATGCGGACGATTGGGCGATAGCTACAAGACATAAAAACCTCGAGGAGACAGAGGCTGTTCTTGCGGAAGACCTGTATTCCCTGGGAAACTACTTCCGCCAGTGGAGGTTGCAACCGAGTGCGGTAAAGACGGAAGTTAGTTGTTTCCATCTTAACAATAAATTAGCAAACCAAGAACTTAACATAAGGTTTGAAGGTAACTGGCTGTCCCACAACAACACCCCAAAATATTTAGGCATTACACTAGATAGGACCTTGTCCTTTAAGAAGCACCTCACACAAACTGCAGCTAAGCTCAACACTCGGAATAATATCCTCCATAAATTATGCAGCACCACGTGGGGGTCATCCGCGAGTACCTTGCGCTCCTCTGCCTGGGTTTGGTTTACTCTACTGCTGAGTACTGTGCCCCGGTGTGGCTCAATAGTTCTCACACAGGAAAGGTGGACGTCCAATTGAACAACACAATGCGTATTATATCAGGAACAATAAAATCAACTCCCACCCAATGGCTTCCTATTCTAAGTAATATTCCTCCACCACATATACGCAGGCAGTATGCACTTTTTAGAGAATACACTAAAATTACTAACATGCCGCAACTGCCGATACATTTGGATGTCCATGACCTGGATAGGAACAGACTTCGTTCAAGACGTCCAACATTAACAACCGCAAGCAGCTTACTCCGGGACGGTTTTAAATTAACGGAGAATCAGAGTTACCAGACCACGCCGGGAACATGCCGGCTATAACTCAGAACCCACCAGGCTTTGACATGCCACGTAAAACATGGTCTGCATTAAACCAGATAAGGACAAATCATGGGAGGTGTGCCGATTCTATGTTTAAATGGGGAAAGTCAGCTTCCCCAGAATGCGACTGCAACACCGGCAGACAAACTATCCGGCACATAGTAGAAGCATGCCCGTTAAGATCCTATTCCGGTTCCTTTGATGATTTCCTGGAAGCTACAGACAGTGCAATCGAATACATCCGTAATTTAGATGTTTGTTTGTAATACTTGTTATATGTATATTCGTTTGTACATTTTAGACTCTTGTCAGACTATTATTATTGTTTGCACACATACTTGTTTCCTGCTCTTTACTTCTACAGTGATTGTAATTCTGTTTTGTTGTGATGTTTAGCCATACGATAGATAGATAGAACGGCTTATCGGCGTAACGACGTAACGACCTTGAATAGATTTCCAGTAATTCTATTGGCTGAAAAATTCATCTGTCAGAAATTTTATCTGTCAAATTCATCTGTCAAAAATTTCAGCCAATAGAATTACTGGAAATCAATTCAAGGTCGTTACGCAGTTATTCCGATACGCCATTTTTAGGATAGTGTGGATGCACCCTGAATCAACCTGTACGATTTCCTAATTTTACGTCTCTATTACACATAAATTGTATACTTTCTTGAAGAACTGAAATAAATATCTTAAACAGAAAGGTATTATATTTTTTTGGAAGCAACCAGTTACACAGTATAGTAAATATTGTGCATTATAATAAAATGAGTAAAAAATTTTGTTTCACCTATTTTTTAAGCCATAACAGAGCAAAAAATCTGTATTCACAGTAACTTAATTAAAGGTTGAGTCATAAAATGTATTGGGATTTATTGAAGCACAATAATTTAAAACATAAATTCTTTATGTTTGTAAACTATATATAATCTTACCAAAAATGTATCTCGACAATGTCCACATGTCACTCTACACATTCCAGGCATAGATGGAACGGGCGGTGTTACAGGACTGGGGGCCAAATTGATAATGCGCTTACAATTTGGCCTAGGACAAGCAATGCGCTGAGATGAACTCTTGCAAATGAGAAGACAATTGCAAGGACATCGAACATATTTCTTACCAGGTGGAGCATTTCTAATTGGCTAAAAATGTATAACATTAAGACAAGTTCAAAAATATTAGATAAAATAAGATATTTAATTATTTATATATGCTTGCCTCAGATTACTAAAGAATAATCACAGAAAACACTTGTCTGGCTTATGCATATATTTATTAGTACCTATTACTTATAATTACTACATATTACCATCCAATTTAAGAATACATATTATATAGTTAATTAATATAAACAGATATTAATAAACAATAAAACTGTTCTCATAATCTTGATAAAAAACTTGACAACTCTGCAAGATCTAATTACTGTCTCTATGTAATTATGAGATTTAAAATTTCTGTCTCTCTGATTTTACAGTAATAAGATATAATACACATATTACCAAGATTTCAGAGACTTAAGCCACAAGTTAATATACTGAGCATCATAGAAATGTATCATCATTGGCAAAACTTTAATGAAAATGAAGAATTGTTTTATTAAATAATCTTATCTAAATAACAAAAAATGTTGAAATAATATCAGTGTGTATGGTGTATGTATGTAAAATAGTTTATACTTACAGTGGCTTCATTGCATTGGGCACATTTCACCACATGCTGGTCTCTTTTGCCAGAGATATCAATCATAGCTTGACAAACTCTGCAAGTTACCATAGGGACACCGCCACTCTCTGAGGGCTGGTAAAATGGTGGCGGCAACTCATCGGGCCCAATTGGGCTAACGGTTGCTTGTTGACCAGCTTAAACATATATTAAATTATTTAAATTTATGTAAACAAACCATCTTAAACAGTACAATTAAAAAGATATTTAACAATTTGATATACAGATATTAAACCAACTTAGAAGGTTCTTTAAAACATGAAGAAAAACATTCAATGAATACCTACTTAAGTAAGATTACCCACACATAAAACTAGAAATAAATGTTCGAGAAGGCTAAATATTAAATTTATAATTTTATTTGTGTTGTCTACAAATAAATGAGTAATGCAACTTTAACAAAAAACAAATAAAATAAAAATTATAACAATAATATGAATGGAATAATTATTCATTCAAAAGAAATATATTTAATATATTTCGGGACCCATATTTCGAATTTGAAAAATCTGACATAGTAGGTTTATTTACAAAAAATAGTACTTGACAAAAACATTCATAAGATGAAACCACTCCTAACAAAGAGATTATTATTAGACAATTTAGTTTACTTTAAAGAATGTAAATATGCAGGTCTTTAGCTCGTTTACATTTTCAATGTAAGGGTTTTAATTTAAGGTAACAAAGAGTGAGTGTAACAAGTATATTATTATTATCAAAATATTTTCTTTAATTACGAAGATCAAATATTTATAGGAAAACAAATCAAAAAACTATATACATTAGAAATATGACGCATACCTGTAACTTCCCCATTATATGTAGTATTTTCCTGGCTAAGGAGAGGCTGTTTTTCATTGTCGTTATTGTCTCCCATCGCAAAAGAAACTTGTTAATAATCTTTTTTTTACCGATAATTGCTAGAATTGGTAAACTATTGACAACAAAATACCTATGCAAAATACTGACAAGGACAAGTGGTAAGTAGTGACAGGTGACAGCCACAAAACACATACACAAGGAGAAGTGCGAGCGCCTTGCTAAATATTGGAAAGTGAAATTGACGTTTAAATTTGACACTGTTGACAAGTCTACTGCTACTAGCGCCCCCAATATCGCTTGTAGGAACTACGGACTAGACTGTCACGCATGGCGGGAAGTTTTAAAAAATAAAAAATTTTAACTCTTCATTTATTTTTAATTATGACATAGATAAAAACACAAAAAATACACCATTTTTTAAAAATATGTTTAATATCAATATCAAATATACAACAGAAATTAATTTCACCACAATAAATTAATAAAATTAAAAAATAATGTTACAAGTAGATCAAGAGACAAAATTAATTCAATTCAATAACAAAACTGAAAAAAATGGCGTCATAGATGGCTTAGAAATGACGATATATATCATAATTTTGAAAGTAAAATTATATAGGAAATGTCATCGATCATCATTTTGAAGCCAACTGGACGATTATTTCAAACATACAAGCTGAGTTCGTTCATAGTGCTCTGAGAAATCTAGATAAACAAAGAATAATAAATTAAAAGTATTCCAGGGAAAACGAGAGGAAAAACCTGTATCGTCTCTGATATCTGTCAGGGTTTTGTTGAAAGTGTCATCTTTTTGCTCGAAGTTTTCAGGTCGATTAAAAAGATGACATTTACACCAATACTTTGCCGTAACTTTCACAAATATCAGAGAGAGAGTACAGGTATTGCCTCTCTTTTCCTCTGGGATGCTTTATATCTGTTCTTCTTTGTTTACCTATATTTCTAAGAGCATAATGCCAAACACGACTACAGTATATAATAATTTCAATATCCTAAGTGGAAAGAAAAAGATCACCTTTCTGTTTTGTACTATGGTCCCTTTCTTCCGATGGCTCATCTCGTTGATATTTAGGAAGGTATCCATAAAATATATATTTTATTATCGGTCCTGGGATGAAAAAATATAAAATTCAATTTCATTTGATGATCCTTTTCTGTCACCTAAATCAGGAGAATGACAATGAGCATGTTAAGATGAAAAAAAAACTTATTTATCAACACTTACCTACACGTTAGTCCAAGGAGTTTTATCAAAAACCTATATTTGCCTAAATAATTTATGTATTCAATTTACAAAGCAAACTGCAGCGTGTAAACAAAAGAAATAAAATGGCGACAAGTCAACGTCAACGACCCGACAAGGAGAAAAGTGGTGTTCGAATAACAATTTATGGGTTGCAAAAAATTGTTTTTGTCTCCTTTCAACGCACACTTTAGAAAGAAAAAGAGATGAACAGTTATACTGAAAGAATGTCAAGGTTTTATCTGTCACTCTTGTCAATAATTTATCGGTAAGGAAGATTCCTAGAAAATCGCTTGTAGTCAAGTTTTCAACCATTTCCAGTTCTCCCATAAGAAGTGTCATCCACCTGGTGACAGCTGCCAATGGGCGCATTCAGTAAACACACTGGTTAGTCCACCGGTGCAGAAAATTAAATTGAATGCCAATGGTAACTCACCGGTTGATTCACCGATCACTTGAGAGCATCTTGAGAGCCTACTGTATTTTGTTTCCGGTTTATTTACGTACCGGTAACCTTCAAAAACTACGTCTTTTCCCGTTCATTAACTACATTAAAAAAATACGTTAATAAACTATAGGTTTGTTTTCACATGCAGTCAGAAACATGTTTCTGATAGTTTTCAAACTACTTATACTGCGCATGTCATGGAGACAACAAATCCATAACAAGTTTGTGATTTTTGTGGAAACACTGGACTAGAACGTATTACTGGTTGCATAGGCATTCTTCTTCTTTTCATTTGTAAAACTAACCTTACTTATTATTTAAATTTTCGTCTTTTGCTTTTTTGTGTTTATTTTCTTACACAAAATGGATAAAAACAGTAAGTTTATTATAGAAACATCTTTTATATAAAATGATTTATTAACATATTACATTATTTTTTAAGGTAACGTACCTCAAGAATTAAATGAATTTATTATTATTAACGTTGAGTCTGACGATTCATCTGTTTCAAAACAATCAGACTTATGGACCTGGACAACTAAAAATACAAAAAGAATGATTGATACTTATGCTGAACTAAAGCCGAAGTTAGGTACTCATGCAATAAAAAATATGAAAAGATTGTGGGAACTTATAGCTGAAAAAATGAATGGGCCAGTTACACCAGCTCAGTGTGAAAATAAGTGGAGAGTATTAGAAAGAGCTTACAAAAAATATATAGATAATCAAAAAAGTACTGGTCGTGCTAGAAAGTTTTTTGAATATGCAGAAGAGATGGACTTGATATTTAAGGGAAAAAAAAATGTGCAGCCTATTTTATTACTCTCTGACACCACAAAAGATGATCTTTCAAATTTAGTAGAGGATGATTTAGACAGTTTTTGTGAAACTAATGTAGTTAAACCATCATCTTCTATACAAGCTGAACCTGAAGTAAAACAAAAAGAAACACTTTCTCCAATCAAGCACAATCGGGCTAGGCAAAGAAGCAATCCCGTGTTAAATTGGAATATTACTTTGGAGAAAATGAGACAGGATAGAAAAGAATATTACAATGCACGCATTCTACAAGAAGGCGAAAAGATAAATCTCTTGAAAGAAAGAAATGCTTTGCTATCAGAAAAAAATCAAATTTTGAAGAAGGCAAATGTCTAGAACATAAAACTGAGTTTAATGTACCTGTGTAGGTAATACCATGGTACAAAAAAAAACAAGGTATGATTGATAGAAGCAATTACGTCATGCGCTGACCATGTTTCCATAAAAATGATTAGTTTTTAACCAATCAAATAACAGAACGAGAGGAAGTTTCTATGGAAATGTGGTCACCACATGACATTATTGCTTCTATCAATCATACCTTGTTTTTTTTTGTACCACGAGGTAATACCAGTTTGTTGTTATTTGTTACTTTAATTATTGTAATACCTATACTTACATACTTATAGACTTTTTTGTTTTGTTTGTATGTTTTATAATAAAAATTGTTAAAACAAACAGTTAAAAATAACCTTTATTTCAAAAACGTGTAAAAATATGTAATAATAACAAAATAATAATGATTATTATATTATTGCAAATAATAATCTAAGTAAGAATACATTGTGTAGGTTGCACAGGCTTCGAAAAGGCAATTTTTCTTTTCATAACTGATTTTGGCTAAGCGAAAATTTAAATTTACCCGCATTTTCTTATATCTCCTAAAATACTCCTGGGTGGTTTAATAATATAGAAAGACCCTGTACTAGGCCTATCACTTGAATTATTCTAAAGTATTTACAATCATGTTTCTTTTTTGTACAGCATCCTGATTTGCGTGTTCTGCAGCATCTTGGATATCAAATAAATTTACATTATTTTCATTTGCTTCTAAATTATTATCACCTTCTATGTACAGAAAATTATCATTCAGTCCTAAGTTATGAAGTACACAACATGCCCTAATAAAATGAACTATTGTACGTATATCTCTTAACTTAATATGATATAATTGGCGCCATTTTTGTTTTAATAAGCCATTGCAGTGTTCGATACAAATCCTATTGGACGAGTGTTGGACATTATAGTTAATTTGGTTTCTAGTTAACATTCCCCTGTCTGGAAAAGGAGTCATAAGATTGTACATTAAAGGATAGGCACTGTCTCCTAAAATATGGAATTCATTACACTTCTCTTGGAGTGAATTAAATAGGTCTGATGTTCTGAAAACACGTGCATCGTGTACCGAACCTGGATATCCAACAAATAAATTTGTTATTTTTAATTGATGGTCACAGACAAGTTGTGCCTAAAAAAAACTGAATGTACTTTTATAAATTAAGTCTATCTAATAATTTTAATATGCTTACCTGTATTGAGTAATACCCTTTCCTATTTATATAAGAGTCTGGATCCTCCAGAGGCTTGTCTATTCTGATGTGGGTTCCATCTATAGCTCCTATAATTCCTGGATACCCATTTTTTTGGCGAAAATATCTTTCAATATCAGCTTGCCTTTCATTGTTAGGCCATATTATTATTTCAGGCGCTAAATTGCTTAGAAAATATGTCATTCGTTTTACTACTTTATGTAGGGAACTTATGCATATATTAAATCTATCTGCCACATCACGGAAGCTGGCACTTTGATGCCCCGCAAACCATAGAAAAATGTGTGTCTGCTTCAATGAGGTAAGTTTTTCATGTGGTCCCAATTGCCACTTATAATATTCACTATTTTCAAAGCGAACAGCGATGTCGGCAGCAACATCTTTACTTACACGGAAGTGTTCTATGTGTTCTTTATCATTAAACTGTGGTACAATCTGTTCAAAGAAAGTTTGATTTTTAGGCCGAATTCTTTCTTCTAACATAATTTCCAGATCTGAATCTGTTTCAGACATTTGGGAGAATTCAGATGCATCGGATGAAGAAAAACCAGACATTTTTCACTATAACAAAATTAGTGCATTAGTGCGCATAAATAACAATATTTAATATATTTACATTAAATTACCTACCACAAATCACAATAATTGTTTCTTTGAATTGTTTTTTGTTTTAACCTCAAACACAAAGAAAGATTTCAAAACAAGCTTGACTACGCGAATATAGGTACAGTGAGTGTGTTCTGTGGTACAGTGATTGTCAAAATATAGCGAATTGCGCATGCTCCAACTCTTTACTTGGAGATAATCCGCAAACTCTTCTTGCTGCTAGCAAACTGTCACGAATTGATGTGTGAACAACCGATTCTTAGTTTGATAACAGCTAGAAAGTGATGTGTGAACGCAAAAAAAGGTATTGCGCAGAATCTAAACATCAGAAACAAGTTTCAAACTGATGTGAAAACAAACCTTATGTCTATGTATTGATATTATTAATGAGCAGGGTTGCCACAAGAAAATTTTTGATTGTGCAGAACTTGACCACAAAAATGTGTAGCATTGGTCGCGTTCATCAGCAGTGTTTACCAACTCCGGGATTTTATCCCTAAATTTGGGGAGAAAAGATCTATATGGGGATTTTTTTGAGGGGGTAAAATTTTTTGGGGATATTTTTAGGGATAAAATTTCAATGGAATTTTACCGCTACCAAAGAGGGTGCCCGATGTACCATCGATTGGTTGTCCTGTTGAACGTGCTTTTTAGATCAAAATCATAAGTAATGCATATTAAATTGTTTTCACCCATTTTTGGCACAAATCGAGGGGATTAGTCAACCGAGAACAATAGAGAACAACGGCATACGGTCGAGTCGGCCTACAAACACGTAAACGTTTACGTACGCATGCGCATTTCTTATATTTTTTATTTTTTATACACGTAAAAGATTCTTTACGTCTACGTATACGTGCCAGCAGCGGCCGACTTGACCGTATGCCGTTGTTCTCTAATATATTGAAAGTATTAAAATATGTACGCTCAAACGCTCAATAATATTGTCAATAATCCAAAATATTGACAATATTATTGATCGTGTGAGGGCCGCTTTAGATGCCTTTTCTTTTAGTGGCAAACAATGAGTCATCAGCTGGTCACCAATAACAATTTTAGAAATTTTTAATAGTTTGTGTGTAGTGAACTTTGTATAAACTTTATTACAATGCTGATTAGTTGTTCAGCTTTTCAGCTTTCAAATGTAAAAGCAGCAGTGATAAGAAAGAGCCAGGAGTTACGTTCATAGGTAAATAAACAGTCCGCTCCCCCTTTTTAACGTTTTCTTATTGAATTCGATAATTATTTTTCTCATATTATATGTAGGTACCGTATGATCGAATAAAAACGGCGTCCAGTTGTCTTGGAAATGACGATCGATGACATTTCCCATATAATTTTACATATAAAATGACAGCGATCTTCATTTCATAGCCATCGTTGACGCCGTTTTTATTCGATCATACGGTACTTGATGTGTGCTATACGTCTATACTAGTTTTGCATCTTTTGTTAACATTTTAATACGTTTTTTCTTAATTAATTAGTATGATACCTACACTATAGGGGTAGTCAAAACATTTATCAAAAATATAAATATCTCTTCAACTAGATAAGTTAAGAAAAAAATATGGTCACGGCACTGTTCGGTGCCATGGTAACAATTTCCTCTCCGGTGTTATTTGTCCTTGAATTCTTTATGGTTTAAACTTGGTTTAAACCAGGTTTAAACAAACTGGGCCGGTCAGGCGCTGTGCGCTGTGCACAGAGATATGGAAGTGGGAGAATGAGCTTCGACGAGTGCGCATCCAAATTAGTGATGGGATCACTCGAGTGAAAAATACTCGATCATCCGAGTATTCATATCCTCGGTATGTCTCGAGTATTTTTGTCGATCCTCGAGGATAACTCGGCACGCAACTAACATCGGGTGTGGTGTACTATCCTCACTGCTCGCGACGATACAGGCGATTTACGATTTATGCTGAAACCTTTTTTTGTCGATCCCCGAGCATTACTCGGCACGCAACTAACATCGGGTGTGGTGTACCGTCATCGCTGCTCGCGCCGATACAGGCGATTTACGATTTATGCTGAAACCTTTTTTTGTCGATTCCCGATCATTACTCGGCACGCAACTAAAGCAGAGTTTACACTAAAAGTACTATACAACCTTTTGTACTTAATAACACCACTATTGACGTCGTGGACTCTGTGAGATTCTTAGGACTTGTAGACAACTCGTTAAAATGGGACTTGCACATCGAAGCTTTATCAAAGAAACTAGGCGCCGCCTGTTTTGCGCTAATATCAGTTTCTAAGGAACTTAACTCATCAACCTCTAGAATGGTCTATTATGCCCTTTTTGAGTCGCATCTTCGTTATGCCCTTCCATTCTGGGGTACTTGCTGCGCGACAAAATTTGATCGTATTATCAAACTTCAAAAGAGAGCAGTTCGATACTTATTGGGACTAAACAGTAGAACTCACTGCCAGAATTTCTTAAAAATTTCAAAATACTGACTCTTCCTTCCTTATTCATTTTTGAATCCGTTTGCTTAATCCGCAAGCACATATTCTCTATTCCGGAAAGGCCTTCTCACAACTATCCACTTAGGAATGCGGAGCACGATGTTTATCTGCCAACCCCGAGCTCAGAACTAGTTAAGGGCTCAATACTGTACAATGCCAAGAAAATGTACAATCATTTTTGCCTTCGAATATCAAGTCACTTTCATTCTTTCCCGCATTTCGCAAAGCTCTGAAATCATACTTACTGGAGAGGAGTACTATATGCGGTAAACGACTTTTTTGTTGATGTTTAATCATGAACAATTTTGAATTTTAAAATTTTGATCATCTCACAAGTTAAAGGTCTAGTATTTAATATTTACTATTTTATAACTCTTGATTTTATGATATATAACATGATTTTATCCATTTACAGTTTTCCTTTTGTAAAATTTTCTAGATACGCCTGTGTTCTGCAATGCCCATATAAAGTACGTCTGCTGGATCTGTGCCTATGAAAGGAATGCGGACAAAAAACATTTAAATAAACAGCATTACATTTTATACGTCGACTTGACGAGTACTTCACCGCAAATCGCTCCGCCCACTCATTTTATTGGCTACTTGCAAATTTGTCGAATTTTTATTGAAGGGACGCGTCATCTATTTTTTTACGAAAAACATCGAGAGAATATCGTTTCCCCTCTCACGGATACCCCGTAGCTACAGAACGGACAAACGTACTGTATGTTTTATTTGTAATTTTATGACGTAATTTTTTTTGAATTGATTTGTATTGCATGACATTTTTTTATTTTTGTATATTTGTTTTTGTGCTTTTTTGTTTTGTGAAGGCTTTGTCGATGAAGCTGTTTTGGCTTTTTGTACAATAATGCCTTTACTAAGCTTTACGGGGTATTCAATAACCCACCAATAACCCAAACAGTAGGTTACTATGGTTACAGTCATTGCAAGCATAAATAATGAACATAAAGCTTGTAAAGTTTGTTCTAAGTGTCAAAGCCTCTGAATTTATCTTGAGAGTTAAGAAAAATGTCTCAAAATAGTTCGCGTTCTGGTAGTACATTTTCAGTCAAAAGTCCAAATTTACTACATAAAAATCGAAATGATTGTAATAATCAAGATATATCGAATAATAGAGTCGCCAAACATGACAATTTTAACGATGAAGCAGTTAGTAAAGAGCTTATCTTGAACACATTTTTAAGTGGCAGTGAATCAGTTAAATCGTTCAAGCCACCAGTCCCCCTTCCCAGAAAAAAACTTACTGAACTCAGAAGAAATTCTAATTCTAGTACAAGAACGTTTGATGTTACATCTCCAAAAATTTTACATAATAGTGATAGTGTAGGGGATGAGGATGAGCTCTTGTGTATTGTTACGACTAATGTCTCTCTTACAGAAAAAATACATGAAAATGAAGAACAGAAACTATCTTCGCTCGATAGTTTAAGTGAAACATCAGAAATAATTGTTAAAACATCGAAAATTAGAAGCAGTAAAGAAACTAAAGAAAAAATACAATTTGCAGAATCAATTAAAGCACGCAAACATAAATATCGACGAGGAAAAAATAAAAAGTTAAATGACAGACAAAAAATAGCTAAAAATTTAAAAGAGTTAAAATCTTCAGACTCTGAAACAGACAACGACACAGATAGTTCCAAAGATATATTTAAACAACCTACACAGAAAAATAAAATAAAAAAGAAAAACAGGAATGCTAATAGAGAAGATGTAAATTCGATAGAAGAAAATACGAAATCTACTAACAAAAACAGTGATAATGAAAGTGACCAAAACGAGAAAAGTGCTTTTTGTTATCAGAACATAACAGAAATAATAATTCATAAGTCCGATAGGCTATTATTGAATTCATTTGTTATTCATCCGGTTGTGAAAATACACGTGGTCGACATACGCACTGGGAAATATTTCAAAAAAAGCGACAAGAATAGATCGGTTGCTTTTTACTACGAAAACGAGCATAATGATTACATTTTGCCGATTATGACCAACTCATACAATTTACAAGAAAATCGGTAAGTTTCAGCTATTGCTGTCCCAGATGTACAGGGTGAGTCTTAAATAAATGTAAATAATGTCAGGGCTGGTAGATCTCCATAAAAGAAATATATTTTCTCTTAACTGTTTTTCCAATAGGTCCACAATAACCGAGTTATTTTACTTTGAAAATTAAAAAAAAATATGTTTTTGCGTACATTTTGAGAACCACTGGATCCTTTCTGCGGTTTCTTTCTTTTAAATTTAATCTACCAATGTTGCCATATTATCAAGATATTATGTTTTTAACTAAAAATTAAACAAAATTCCAACATTTCTTTTTTTAAAATTCCAAATTTTCAATGTTTTTTGCGAAAAAAACCTCAGACTTTCAGTTACTGGGGTCGAAATATACCATCCCTAAAAAGATTTGCACTCATTTAAGACTCACCCTATATAATTTCTCGGTAGTTACCTAGGCCACTAATTACAATTCGAATAATAGATTTCTGATACTTTTTATTATTCTTATTGCAGAATACCCAAAATAAAGAAAAATGCACTATAAATAGTTGACTTGAAAATGACTATCGATACATATCATTTCCTATATAATTTTACATATAAAACAGCGATCTTTATTTCATAGCCATCGCTGGCGACTTTTTTATCCATACGGTATATCTAATATAGGTATATTTATCTATATATAGTTCTTAAATAATAAATAGCATTATATCAATAACTTATAGGACTTGTTCATAGGAATAATAGTCATAGGCTAAATAACAAGTCTGTTTTATTAGTCTTATAGAGGGTGTTTCAAATAACATCTACCATCTCTCGCGGTGAGGTTCCTCACGTAAAAATAAGATTTATTTTATATATCGACTTAGATCCGATTCTGCTTTGTTTCGTAGCTACAGGGGGTTCGTCTTCATTTTTTTTTCGATTTATTATAATTTAAGTGCTTCTAGCGATTACATTTAGCTAGCTTAACTAGTTACTATAAGTGCGACATTTTTTAAGACGGTTTAAATTAATAAAATTAAAAAAATGTATATATATAATATATATATATATATATATATATATATATATATATATATATATATATATATATATATATATATATATATATATATATATATATATATATATATATTTATTTATTTTCATTTATTACAAAGATAATTACAAAATATGTATTTATTTTTTTTTTAACTATCAACATCCTGTAACTTTAAAACTAAGCATTTCCACACAAACAAGAGAAAAAGTCAGTGGCGCACAGGCTTTTTTTAGTACAATGATAATCCACACTACAAATGATAATCTACACTTTTTTAGCATTAAAATATGTCGCATTTATTATAAGTTTTGCCCTCAAATTTTATTCGAGTCGCTAAAAGCAGTTGGAAGAAAATTATAATATGTATATCGAAAAAAATGTAATCCTCTGTAGCTGCGAAAGAAAGCAGAATGGGATGTACATGTGTTGATATAAATAAATAAATCTTTTTTTTTTGTGAGGAATCTTCCCACGAAAAATGGCACGCATGTTTTTTAAAACACCTTGTATATTATGTATTAACTTCAAATACCTGTAGATCGTTTTATCCAAAATGGGAAGACACCATTCTACTTAACGAGGATTTTGATTATTTAGTTAATGAAAATGTTATCATATTTTTTGAAATTATGGATTTTTCGACAACTAACATTGCTACATTGAGGAAAAATAAAGGTAAGTTGAGATAATCCTACTGCTATACCAGGCTTTTTCAAAGTTCTAAAGACGTCTGCCAACCTTTTGGTTATTTTATTATTAATTTAATCATTGATGGTCATTTTTAAAAATATCTATAAAAAATAAAATTATTGTAAAAATTTGTAAAATTGTATATTGTAAAAAATATCTGTTTAAAGAGTGCCAAAAAGAAAATCATATTCTCTTATTTCAGAGTATGATAAAGGCTGGTATAAGATAGCTTTTTCCTTTTTAAAATTAGTGGGAAAATCCAATGCACGTAATGTTAACAAGAAACTACAACTTCAATTGTATTATAACCAAAATGTCAGTAAAAAAGCTGAGTACGATTCTTGTGAATTATGGGAGTTGTGGCACAAGAAAAAGTTAAAAAAGTACCCTTCTACTCTGTATGTTACTGTCAAGGAAATGATATCCCATAGAAAAATTATAGAAGCGTTTAGGTCGAAGACTCCATTAGAAAAGGAAGATATCAGCCATACGACCAATGATAAAAACGCAAATGATAGTATATCAATTAAGCAAAAAATAGAAGAAGATGCAGATAGCATTAACGCAAAATTAAAGAATTTATCTCGACAACAAAGTTTAATACCACATGACTTCCTTTATGAAATAAATACATTTGAAGATGGCTGCTTTGTATTTAAATTCAGCAACAATGGGAAATATTTGGCTTGCAGTATGAAAATAGAAAACGATTTTTATATCATTTTTTATATGGTTAGTACCTAATTAATATACTATTTTCTTCGTAAATTGGGCAAAAACGCCCAATAAAAATCAGTTAAGTAGAATTTAATTTCACCGTTATTATTAAATAAATTTATTGTGGTAAAACTGCACAACATATCGTGGGCGTACAGCGAAAATCCACTATGTCACATTTTTGGTTGAATTGGATTAAACACACCACTATGTCCAGTTTTTCACGGTCTTTAACATGAAAAACCCATTAAGTCCAATTTCGGCATCCTTATATTATAATTAGTGGATTTTCGCTGTACGCCCACGATATAATAGTGATATTATGGTATGGTATATGATTTTTACATATTTTTATTTATTTTACATATAAAATAAATAAATACGATGATTTTCATTTCATAGTCATCGCCGACGCCGTTTTTTTTTCGATCATATGGTAGTCTTTTTTGTATAATCTTTAAAACGTCTACCTATATTATGTTATCTTAGGTATGTGAATCCCTAGTACCGTATGATCGAAAAAAATCGGAGTCAAAGACGGCTGGGGAATGACAATCGATAATAATTTTAACGAGGTCAGTCTCTAGACGACATTTACTAAAAATTGACATAATACTTAAAATTAACACTGATTATAGAAAGATTAAAAAAGGATAGAACTTTTTCCAGACACACAAACCTATTTTAAAAATACTTTTTCTTGAATTTTAATCTATACCGTGTAAAAATTTACTCTATAAAAAAAATTACAACCTTCTTAAAACGGCCTACACACGTAACGATTTATCGTACTGCATGCAGTACGATATCCATCGAAACTGCCGCATTAACGATAAATCGTAGCATGTGTAGGGAAATTGGATGGTTTGCAGTATGCAGTCGTCAAATCGTTTGCAGTACGGAGCTTCCGTAAAATATCGTATCAACGGGTCGTGTCTGGGGTGGGGTTTGAACGCGTGGAGTGTATTCCCTGCCGCAGCGCGCAGTTACGATATAATTTTTATTTATTTTTGGTTTAATCAATATTATGGATTGAAAAAATAAGACGTTCTGGGAAGACTTTATTGATTTATATAGAGAAAATAGATGCCTATGGGACGTGAAATCAAAAGATTATGCAAATAAAATGAAAAAAATATTCTTTCTCTCCAGCAACCACTTTTTACACCATTTCGCTTTTTGATTTCTTTTTGTTCATCATCTTCATCTATCAGCAATACCGCAGCTACAAGCACGGCAGCTTTCTTCTTCGAAATTCTTGACATAACGGTAGCCCTTCTCGACGAAAAGTGAATAATCTGAACTGCGGCAGTACAATGTTTGTACGTGTGTACAAAAAATGGCTGTAGGTACTGCAAGCCGTACGATTTTCTTTACGATCTGCAGTTCAACGCGCAGTTCGAAAAATCGTTACGTGTGTAGGCCGTTTAAGACCTACTGGCAATAAGCGCCATCAAAAAATAAAGAAGAGTACGGGCCAAGTAAATATATAACGTCTAGAGCTTGCCCTCGCCAAAATTATCATTCGATGTCATTAATCACCCCATTTTGGCGCCTTTTTTTGATCATATTGTAAATATTTATTATTAACTTAATTTAAATTGTTATAATGTCTTGGGAGCAGGAATTTCACGTATGGCATTATATTAAAATAAGCTACATATATGGAGACTATATATTTATAATTTATTACGACTTAAGTCACAAATAATCTTCTATTGATTATAATATATTTATATATTTTTTTTAAATATTTAAGACGGACGACTTTGAAGAAAAACGCAGATATCAAAGCCAAGAAGGCTTGATTTATAATATAGTTTGGTCAGCTGACGACAATTATTTGGTCACTTCTTCTGCGGATAATACCGTTGCCATTTGGGATTTTACAAAGAGCACCTTTTTACAAGTAAGAGAAATATTAATTTGTTTAGCAACTTTTACTTTTTCTGATAAATGAATCTCGTCGTAACATTTACTGCCATCTATATTTTTCTTAAAGAAATATGTCGTTACAGTTTAGTTCAACGGAAATCTCTTTTCAGTTATAGAGTTGTTCCATTTAGAGAACTTCTTATTTTATCGAGAGATGTTGCTACGTTCGCTAGCGCTCTCTGGCAATATGTTCGAATTGCCCTGTAGAGCCATGTCATTATTTGTATACCCTGCTGGTCATCCAATTTATGTGGTCTGGATTTTAATGCGTATGACAGAGAATAATATAAATGACCGGTTGACAGACAGAGAAACAAAATCAAAGGCGGCATACAGTGTTGCCAGTTTTTTACGTTTGTAGCAAAATGTGACAATATTCAGAGACAGTGTCCTGTTAAAAACTCCGTAATGTAATAATCATAATGTTGTTTAAAGTTATATCAAGAAATAATTTTTTCGAAGAAATTTCTTCGAGTATCTTAAACCGTTGGACGATTCTCATTCCAGGTTACGGATGGAGTCTTCCAGGTTCCTGAGTTCTGTTTTAAGGTGGTTTCCACTTGGGAAGCAGAGTTCCAGTTAGTAGAGTGTTCGCTCCTTTTCTATATAGCTAGACCGTTAGCTTTTTCGTTACCTTTGATCCCTGGGTGGGTTGGCATCCAGAGTAGGAAGACTTTGCCTAATTCGTTCAGCTTCTCTAGGGATTCTTTGACCAACTTCGAATTGATGGTTACTAAGTTGATCGCTTTTAATACTGCTTTACGATTGGATTTTTGTTATATGTATTTTATATTTAAATTATCTACTCAGCTATTTGGAAAAATTGGTCTACAAAACAAAATAGCTATTTTTTTTGTAAAAATTGCTGCGTTAATCCCTTAGATTAAGAATAAAAGTTAATCCAACGGAAACTAATTGTCAGCAGTGGTTTACTAATAAACAAATTTGCCTAACGGATAAAAAAATGCTTAAGGTTTCGGAAAGTATATCTCTTTCCATCGTGGGAAGCAAAAAATACAAAGAACAGAGAAAAAAAAAACTATTTAAAATACCTAATAAATGCAACTATTAGAGAATACTTTAGTTTTTTTTTAAACAGATACGTCTACAAAAACCCTTGACATTAAAAAACGACATTACATATATCAAGTTAATCTTCAAAATTAACAATTACTTCCTGATAACAATTACTTAATAAGGTAAAACCAAAAAACTCCAAACTTTCTGTATGATTTTTAATTTGTTTTAAGTTTTTATATATGTTATGTTTATTTATGTTATGTTCCTTTAAAATCAAAGAAGCGATTGCCATACATTATACTAACATCTACAGATGCATGAGCAATACATTTATTTTGATTAGATATTGTATTAAAAAAGCCTCTTTATTTTTCTTTTTGGGGCTATCGCTTCTTTCATTATAATTTTGCCTTGTTAAAATCTATTCTGTGCCCTGTGTTTCATGAATGCTGAAAACCTTAAATTTGTGAAAGTCGCCCTTTCTTAATTAATCTTTATGTTCTTTAATTCGAACATTTAAGGCTCTAGATGTTTCACCAGTAGAAAGTTTATCACATTCACATGGCATTTTGTGTATTACATTTTTAGTTTGTTGTCCAGTGTTCATTGGTTTAGTGTGTGTTAAAATGGATCTAAGTCTATTTTGTGTTTTGAAAGATGTTCGTATGTTCACAGATTGTATATATGTTATATTGTTTTCCTATCTTTATTATTTTTTCCGAAACGCCTCGTATGTATTTTAACATACGAGGTGTACGTGTTCTCGAATAGTTGCATTTAGATATTGAAAATAGTTTTTTATCTCTGTTCTTTGTATTTTTTTGCTTCCAACGACGGAAAGAGATACACTTTCTTCAACGTTAAGCACTTTTTTGTCCGTTAGGCAAATTTGTTTATTAGTAGACCACTGCCACTGCTGACAATTATTAGTCTCCGTGGGATTAACGCAGAAGTGTACAAAAAAATAACTATATTTTATTTTGTAGATTTTCTTACAGTGGAGAAATACCCATAGGATAGGACTTTTTGGAGAGATGAATCCATAGATTTAAAAATTAAAATATGAATCTGTCACAGAGGTATAGACATTTTTTTTAAGTAATCCGTTAATGAGCAGTCGAGTTTTGGGATATCTAGAATCTTTAACGGTTACTTAAATTTAAAATTGAACTTTTTTCTCCAATTCGCGTCTGATAAGTCTTACAAATTTAGTTTAATCTTTAATAATAGAATTACATTTCAGATATTACCTCATTCGTCTTTTGTATATGCCTGCGATATTAATAATGAAAATACAATAGCTTCCGGATGTTACGACAGGAAAATATCACTTTGGATACTCAACAAAAGTGCTTTGAGATACGAACTGGACGCGGAGCTAATGAAGCACAGTGGATTAGTAACAAGTGTGTGCTTTACGAAAAAAAAGTTAAATTTTTTATATTCCTCCGATTCTTGTGGAGAAATCATTGAATGGTATAAGGAATCTGATGGGCAATGGAATTTTAGTAGGTAATGCATACATTTAAAAAATGCTTATATGACATAATTTACATATACATGTATGTATGTGTTATAAGTAATAAATTAGCACATTAAAACAAGTCTGACCAAAAACTTGCACCGTTGTTTGAAAAAATTGGGAACATACGCCACCTAATGGGCAAATTCGTGACAAGGCTGATTAATACAAGGCTAGATTTCCCCTTACGTCTCCAGTGCTGTACGGTGGTGACACCAATCCTTCTGCGGCCAACGCATAAAACACTTATTATTTTCTCAAATTCAGCTAGCGAAGGCATATCGAAGACGGTGTGGATCTGAACAGTGTTGTCATATTAAGATGTGTAATATATCTGTCATACGGTTTGACGAAAATATCTTTTTATGAAAAATCCCCGGTGTGGGACTGAAAGCGACAGTGTTACCATATTAAGATGTATATCTCTCTATACGTTACGAAAATATCTTTTTATAAAAAATCCCCGTTTATGTATTGAAAATTTATTCGTGTTAAACATAGAATAAACAATAAAAATAAAAATTCTTTTATAGATACCAAAATGAACTGATTAATCGAAAAAAGTTGTTTAGTTGGCTTGGAAATGCCGATTATTGATATTTACCATAATATTTTAGATATGAGATAACAGAGATCTTTATTTCCAAGCCAACTTTGACACCGTTCTATGTTTATTATGATATTGTATTAAATTGTTTAATGATAGAAAATCCGTATTATTAAGGTACTGTACCGATTTATCAGTAGGTCTGGCAACACTGTTTCCGGCAACCACTCACTCTGTCGATTGAAATCAAAACTACGGTACAGTATTCTTTATCAGCTGTGCTGTAAACGACTAGCAGCGCGCAGCGGCCGCGGGCGCAGAGCTAAATTAAATCTCGGACAGGCTGACGGAAACGCCAGCTACATCTCGGACAGATTTTGTGCCACGAACTCGCCCATAAGGTTGCCCATTCTCTTATTTCTTCAATCAACATTCGCACTTAGCCGGCTCGGCTAGTATATTATAAATTACGGGAATATTTATTTCATTTATTAATTACTTTTAGGAGCATAGATATTGTTGATATCAGGGGAACCAAGATTAATGAAATTCTATTATTTCCAAACGAGAAAAAAATGTTGATTCATTCTAGAGATTCAGCTCTCAGAATAATATCAATAAAAAACAGTTGTGTAATACAATGGCTACGTGGATCATTAAACGTGAGGCAAGTATGGCAAGTACAGCGAATTATTTTATTTTGAAGAAAAATAAGTTGGGTCCTTATTATTTATTTCGTTTTTTGATTGTTTATTATACATATCTGTTATTTGGTTTCATGTTATTGTTTTTTTTTAGAGTACAAACATTTTGTGGAATATCTTCTAACGGATTTTTGGTGGCTGCTGGAAGTGAAAACGGATTGGTACTAATTTGGGAAGCGAATAATGCGAAGGTAGTTAAGGCTTTAGAAGGTTTCTCTACAGCATCTAAAACTGTTCACTGCGTAAAATTTAATCCGATAATGAATATGCTAGCGTACTCTCATTATGGATCTAGAGAACCAGTTGTCATTTACGGATCTGATAAGGCTAACAAGAAAACTGATATAAAAAATGATAGAGAAACTACGAACTTGCGTTCAAAAGATGAAAGTAATATGGAAGAGATATGCGATTATAAGAGAATTTTAGAAAGGATGGAAAAATTATTTATACAGGGTGAGTCTCTTAAATAAGTGCAAATATTTTTAGGGCTGGTATAGATCTCGAAAAAAGAAACATACTTTCTCTTTACCGTTTTTTAAATAAATCCAAAATAACCGAGTTATTTTACTTTGAAAATTTCCAAAAAAAAATGATTTTTTGCTAAAATTTTGGATGGAAAAAAAATGGATTTTCTTTCTTGTAAATTTAATCTACTACCACAGCCAGTTCTACTACCACAGACAGTAATGTTGCCATATTATCAAGAAATTATGTTTTTTAACAAAAAAATAAAAACATTTTCCAAAATCTTGTCAAAAAATTTCAAATTTTCATTTTTTTTGCGAAAAAAACTCGTAATCATGTATCTGGGGTCGAAATGTATTATATGTATATGTACCTGTAAAAATATTTGCACTTATTTAAGACTCACCATGTATAGTTATAGGTATCTATTCATTAAATGAAATGTTTATGATAAAACAGGCATTGGACAATAATAGGTAAATATCGGTTGTCCAAGGATAAACTATATTTGTCATAAAGTGTTTGAAAAGTTTGTATGTCTCGTATGCTATATGTTATCTTATTGAAATCGTCCCTTCTCTGGGTGAATTACCTTTTATATATGGGAAATTGCATTAGAACTGGTTTTAACTGATAGAACCCAATATACCCCACGGTATATACCGTATGATCGAATAAAAACGGCGTCAGCGATGGCTATGAAATGAAGATCGCCATCATTTTATATGTAAATTTATATGGGAAATGTCATCGATCGTCATTTCCAAGCCAACTGGACGCCATTTTTATTCGATCATACGGTCATACGGTATTTAATATACCTATGTATTTAAAAGTAATTATGAGCATCAAATTTAACAGATACTATGATATATCATAGGATTAAATAACTCAATGGATTAAATATATTTGTATTTTGAGAAGGCTATCGCATTTTTATTTCTACTTGAAAGGAACTGGATAACGGATTAACTGGATAACCAGTTTTACAACCACCACTAGCACAAGATAAATATATAAAAAATATAAATTTACTTGCCAAACATCAATTTTGGGTACAGAATAGTGCTTAACAAAACAATTATATAAAATATACATAAACAAAAGATGTTATCGTGGGGCGACTATAATAAAAAGAAGAATGAAATTTTTGGGCAACCTACAGTAAGATTAGCCATGAAACATGGCTAAAATACGACTACCCGTAGACACTTAGTGTTTCTGCCTTCCAGCTTCATCAATACGGGAGGAATCAGCAACGATGAACTAGCGATCCTGAAAAAAGAAAAAGGGAAGCAAACGAGGCACTAGGCACCATTTGCAACCTGGTTAAGCAGTAGCTCACAATTCGCAAGCGTTACTACCAAAAAACCGCTGCGGTGGTACTTCCAGAGACCTCGCCAGAGAAAACAATAAACAAAAGATGTTATCGTGGAGACTATAATAAAAAGAAGAATGAAATTATTGGGCAACCTACAGTAAGATTAGCGGCGAGGTATGTTGATGTACCTCCGCAGCGGTTTTTTGGTAGTAACGCTTGCGAATTGTGAGCTACTGCTTAACCAGGTTGTAAATGATGCCTAGCGCCTCGTTTGCTTCCCTTTTTCTTTTTTCAGGATCGCTAGTTCATCGTTGCTGATTCCTCCTGTATTGATGAACCTGGAAGGCAGAAACACTAAGTGTCTACGGGTAGTCGTATTTTAGCTATGTTTCATGGCTAATCTTACTATAGGTTGCCCAATAATTTCATTCTTCTTTTTAAAATATACATATATATTTGAAATATTGGGGAAATTAATAGGTTTGACACACCAGTTTAAAAGCATATAATTTTTTGAGGTTTTACAATTTTAAGAAAACTTTTAACTGTGGATAATAGATGGTAATTTATATTATAAACAATCTTTATACAGGGTGTTTCAGAAAACATATGCCATCTCTCGTGGGGAGATTCCTCACGTAAAAATAAGATTTATTTTTCATATCAATATAGGCCCGATTTTGCTTTGTTTCGTAGCTACAGGGTGTTAAAGTCTTAATAATATCTTTCGATTTATTATAATATTTTCTTCCAAGTACTTTTAGTGATTCGAATGAAATTTTGAGGGTAAAAGTTACTATAAGTGCTACGTATTTTAATGCTAAAAGTGTCAATAAATCATCATCAGGGACGTGCAGGGAATAAATCATCATCAATTCATCAGGGACGTGCATATGGGTTTTCATTGGAATATCAATAAAAAAAACCGTGCGCCACTGACTTTTCTTTTGATATCAAAATCGTGTAGGCCATTTAATGCCAATTAAAAGTTATCTCTTGGTATTTTGTCGAATTCGGCGACCTTGATGAGATAAACGAAATTTTATTAATCGCAATTAATAAATTTAAAATTAAAATGAAATTAATAAATTATATATTTTACCTAATTTATTATTAAATATTATTACTATTAGTTATTATTACTGTTAGTTCAACCTACAGCAATTTCAAATAAAAAAATAATGGTATTTAAGATAATTACAAAAAAAAATTAAGTTATAGATAATTACTAAGTCTGGTCGTTGGTACGACGCGAAAAAATCAATTCGATTTGTTTTCGTCGCTGTCACTGGAAGCCATCGCAACGCGTCGCCGCGCTGGTCGCTCTCAGGGTGCAGCCACACTATCCTAAAAACGGCGTATCGGCGTAACGGCGTAATGACCTTGAATAGATTTCCAGGAATTCTATTGGCTGAAACATTCATCTGTCAGAAATTTTATCTGTCAAATTCATCTGTCAAAAATTTCAGCCAATAGAATTACTGGAAATCGATTCAAGGTCATTACGCCGTTACGCCGATACGCCGTTTTTAGGATAGTGTGGCTGCACCCTCACTCTGAATGCTTGGATTTGATAACACTAGACCACACACTAGACTGGTGCTAGACTGTTTAACCACTCGTCGCTTCTACTCTGAACAGTTCTTTACACTATTTCGTTAACAAGAAAAAAAAAGTCAGTGGCGTACATGCTTTTTTTAAGAAAAATTTTCCAGTGATAACCCATATGCACGTCCCTGGTGAATATATCGACACTCTTTTAGCTTTAAGATATGTCGCATTTTATAGTAATAACTTTTACCCTCAAAATTTCATTCGAAACGCTTAAAGTACTTGGAAAAAAATTATAATAAGTCGAAAAAATATTTAAGACTCAACACCCTGTAGCTACCAAACAAAGCAGAATCGGACCTATTTTGCTATTAAAAATAATTTTTACGTGAGGAATGTCCCCACCTTAGGTCCCACGAGAGATCATCGAGAGATGGCACATGTTTTTTGAAACACACTGTATATCGTATATATTTGATCAACCTGTATATTAACAAAAAATATAATGACATTGCCACACCTATGATGGTCAGATGATGGTCCACACATTTTCTACAAATGAATGTTAATATAAGTATTAAAAAACGAATCTGCGGTGGGATTCTGTAAGCTCCGTAGCAAGAAATTTCCTGTCTAGCTTATGCTATTTGTATACGATTGATGAGTCACTAGACAGAAAATATGTTTACAGAATCGCTAGCCTGATATTGGATTGGCCCAATATTGGCCTTTACGGGAACAGTTAGCCACCCTGTATAAGTTTTTTTTTTTTTTTTACTGGAAGAAAAAACGGCGCCATGGATGGCTTTGATTTCTTTCTATCATATACTAAAAAGATCATATATATAATTTTGGATTGTTTGTCTCCTGTTGTTGCAAAGTGATGTTGTAGAGCTGGCTGATTGGTTTTCGTAGTTCGAGCCAAATAAAGTAATGAATTGAAAGAAGAAGAAAATGTCGGAAGAAAAGAGAAAAGTGAGGTTATCGTAAAAAATTGAATTGATAGGAATTTAAATATATTTATTTTTAGCAGTTTTTAGTTCTATACAAAACAGAAAAAAATATTGTTTTAGAGTTAAAAGAAATTTACAAAGACCTAATAATTATAAGGAAATGGCAGATCCCGAGCTTGAAGCCCTTAGGCAGCAAAGATTAGCTCAAATGCAATCCCAGTATAAAGTAAAATTAAACTTTAGTCCTAGAGATTCCTAAATATCTGATATAAATTAATTTTAGAACTCTGGCAGCGATGCAGATAATCAAAAGGCTAAAGAGGAACAAGCTAGGGCCCAGGAAGATGCTAAAAATTCAATTCTTTCACAAATTTTGGATCAAGATGCTAGAGCCCGATGTAAGCTATTTTTTAAATTTTATTTAAAGTTAACGTTTGCTTATTATTATAATTTATTTTTTGCAAAATTTAAACAACCTAATGATATATATTTTATTTTAGTAAATACCTTGATGTTAGGAAAACCTGAAAAAGGACAGATGGTACAGAACATGTTAATTAGAATGGCTCAGACCGGCCAAATTATGAAAAAAATTGGAGAAAGTGAACTTATAGGACTTCTTGAAAATGTGAATGCACAAACACAAAACAAAACGTCTGTTAAATTTGATAGGCGTAGGGCTGCTTTAGATTCTGATGACGATTTTTAGTTACTCTTTGATATACACACTTCACTTACTTATAACAAATTATAATTTTCTTAATTAATACATACATTGTTTGCTTAAATTATTAAAGTTAAGTTATTCATTCTTATAACATTTTCATACTTTATTAAAACTGTGCAGTGACAAATGTAAAACCAAGAAAGATCAGATGTTAGTTATGATTATTTATGGGGAATCAAAATTATCTAAAATTTGTGGAAATGATGACTAATCAAAGATATTTTGTGACTAATACTCTTATATGTAGATGGTAAAAATATTGAATTTTAAATGTATGTATATGAAAGACAGAAGTTACTTCAATGTTTTACTGAAAATTATTAGAATATTTAGTTTTCCGATTCAAGTTATTGTAACAAGTTTTACCATTTGATTTGAAAAAAAAGCAAGTCAGTGTTCACTTGGAAATGATCATTAATTTTATTTCTAATATTATATGCGGGATGTTATTAATAATCATTTCTTGCGCACTTGACGCCGTTTTTTTTTCATTTAGAGAATTAAGAAAAAAAAACAAAAAAGCACTATGAATTTTTTATTAATAATAAATATAAAATAAATAAAATTATAATAAATTAATACCCAGATTTAGAAGTAATATGTTTTACTTTCTATAAAGATATTCTCTATATTCTTCTAAATGTTTGCAAAACCATTTATAAACACAAAGTCTCTCAATGAGTGCTAGTATTCATAATTTAAATCATTGTTTCTTTGGCTTGAATTCCAAATTATCATTATATGAAAAAGGAACAGTAGATTGGATTAAAAGTCTGATGGTTTATATTGATTTTTTAAATCCTAGGTTTAATATGGCACTTGATTTTGAAATTAGTAGGTACTAAAATTCCACTAGCGAACTTTATTAATAAATTCCATCTACTTGGTGTCATTTATAGAAGTGAATTGTAGAATTGTGGTTTATCATGAATCTAATAGATTCATTTTCTCTTGTTTTATTGCTTCTTCCAAAGATTTTCATTTATGGGATGTACCAAAGAAGGCTTACATGGTCAAAAATTAAGATATCCATACTTGCTAATCTAGCTATGGAATTATTGCTTTAATTTTTATTGGATAAAACTAATTAAATGAATTTGTTTAACACAATATTGATCCTAATATATAGTTTCATAATAATAAAATACTACTTAACAACTAATGACTAGATATCTTGTTTATTCTTAATTCAACGATGTTTATTCATTTTTCTCATGGTATAAGAGCTCTGAAAAATAAGTAAGTATTAACATACCAAAAAATTACCTAAATATACAGACAGTGGCGTAGCGTGGGTTAGGGGCGCCCAGGGTGGAGAACCACTAGGAGAGAGGTTTGCTGCCCCTACAGAATCAGTCCGCCGCCTTTATAACAATTTTTTGTCGCCCCACAGGTACTTGGAAGGTCGCCGCCCGGGGCGGCCCGCCCCCGCCTTGCTACGCCACTGTATACAGAAGCGACACGGACGATTTTTCTTGGACTGTGGACTAAGCGAACCACTTAATATTAATATTAAGAGCTTAAACTTTCACAGTATTTTTTTTTTCATTTCCAACATTTTCAAAAAATAAAATAAAGCGCGTTCACACCGGCCGGCTGCCCCGCTCCGTGCCGCGTCGCGCGAATTATTTTTTTAATATACGCGCTAAAAAATACACTTCAAAAGTAATGTGACTTCACAGCCGGTGTGAACGCATCTTAATGTTCAATTTTTTTGAAACAGTCTAATGTATACTAAACAGAAATAGCCGGAGAGCTGGCGACATATTTAGAGAACATATTTTAGTTAGAATAACAAAAAAAATGAACTTTAATAACTTGTGAACCCAAAATCCTAAGTCTGGCTGGGGGGTTGGGGGTATTTCGCTACTGCGCAACTCATCACATTTGCAAAAAAATAAATCCAAAAAACATTCTTTAGGCAACTTGAAATTTGTTTATTCTTAAATTTTAGCATCTATTTAACCTAGAAATAAGTATGCCAGACTTTTTTTTCGGGTTTAAAGTGTAACCCGACCGTTCCAAATATGTTTAATTATTATACCTGGAAAACATACTTTAGGCATTCTAAAATTTTTACAGCGTGTTTATTAGATGTTATTAAAAAATATGTGTTAATTGCCAGACGAATTTAATGGGATTTAATACTTGCCAGACGCGAATAAAGATTTTAAATGAGCGCGACAAAAAAGTCTTGTGAGTATCTATAAGCGTGAGAAAGATAGTTTATTGATAGCCGTCGGCAGCCGATGATGAGCCGATGCGGCTGATGTAACAGTATTTTGGAGTACTTCAAATTTTCATAAAAACAATTTTTTTTCGTTTCATTTCAATTATTTGCAGGCTTTTAATTCAGAGATTATTTTGTTGGAATTAAGTTACCATGTACAAATATGTATTTATAAATTAAATATTGACGTGCATAGTGTAAATAGTTTAGAATAATTACTGCAAATAAATATTTTAGTAACTACTAATTTCGCTACTAACTACTAAATCACAATGGATAAAAAAACATTTAAGTTGTGTAGTTTGTAAAAAAGTTACTAGTGACAAAGTTATTGTTTTTGATGAAGGCAGACTACAAAAATGCAAAGAATTTTTAAAAGTGCGCCAACAACATGGTTTAAAATTTAAAGTAGTGGTTTTACCAGAAAACGTAGTCCCGACAAAAGGGTACCATGTACAGGGTGGTCGAAATTGGTCTGTTTTAACAGAGAAACCCTATTTCCTGACTAGATAGAGCAAAACCGACATAGATGTCATGAGCTCGATTTCTGAGACATGTTTAATGGCGTAAACCGTCTGTTGATATTTTCACTGCCAACTGAGATACGGGCTCTTTTTGAGTTTTTTACCATTTTGAAAATTGTCCATAACTTTTTTTATTTCGCGGAATAATAAAATTCTGTAAAAACGTTCTTAAGGTTCTTAAGGCACTTTTTTAAGCACAATCCAGTGGCGTAGTTAGTTTTTTTCTATGTTTGCTCTTTTTGTCAGAAATAATAAAAAATATAATTTTTTAAATGGAAATCATAGTTGGCTATGAACTTAAAAAAATGGTGGCGTTTAACCCTTTCCAACGATATAAAGTTCTATTTCTAAGAATGAGAGAAATATTCGGTTTTTTATCTTCTATATCGAAGTTATTGATTTTTATATTGACCTATTTGCCTAGTTATTTTTATCACAATATATTCTATATTATTAATATGCATAATTAAAGACTTTTGAAAAGGTAAATTAACATACTGTATTAGCATTAGTAATTACAATTGAAATCGATACAATGAACAATGAACAAAACTAAAAAAACGTATTTTTTGAGTGACGAATATAGTTTTCTAAAAAAACCATCAAAGATGTTCAAACAGCACCTCCTTGTTGAATACACAATAAACATCTTTTGCGCACAGAGTTACAGCGATTTATTAGACGAACCAGTGTAATAAGTCCAAAAGTTTTCCTAGAAGCCTTCTGCAATTCTTCTCTCGTCCCAATGGTTCTTCCCTTATATATAAGGTCTTTTAATTTCCCCCATAAAAAAGTCGAAAGGGGTTAAATCACAGGACCTAGCAGGCCAAGATATGGGACCCCTTTTTCCAATCCAATTCTCTCTAAATTCTCCATTTAATAGTTCAGTTATAACCCTGGCGTTTTAATTATAATTGGTTATACTAATATAGAATGTTGATTTACCTTTTCAAAAGTCTTTAATTATACAGATAAATAAAAATATAGAATATTAAATTGTGACAAAAAATAATTAGGCAACTAGGTCAACACAAAATCAAGGCCCGCTTCGATACAAAGATAAAAAACCTAATATTTCTCTCATTCTTGGAAATAAATACACATAACTTTATATCGTTGGAAAGGGTTAAACGCCAGCATTTTTTTCAAGTTCATAACCAACTGTGATTTCCATTTTTTTTTTATTTTTTATCATTTCTGACAAAAAGAGCAAGTATGGAAAAAAAACTGACTACGCCACTGAATTGTGCTTAAAAAAGTGCCTTAAGAACGTTTTTACAGAATTTTATTATTCCGCGAAATACAAAAGTTATGAGCAATTTTCCAAATGGTAAAAATTCAAAAAGTCCCCTATCTCAGTTGGCAGTGAAAATATCAATAGGCGGTTTACGCCATTAAACATGCCTCTGAAATCGAGCCCATGACATCTATGTCGGTTTTGCTCTATCTATTCAGGAAATAGTTTTTCTCTGTTAAAACAAACCAATTTCGACCACCCTGTACAGTGCTAAAAAAATAAGTATTGTGGAATTTTATTAAAGTACCATTGTTAATCTTTCTAAATAGATTCAAAAGTAAGTAAAAGTGCTTTACTTTTATGCTTAGGCGTTAAAATGACTTTTTTATATTGTCAATCAGGTCGCAAAAATTAATAATAATATAATATGTCACAAAAGTATAATAATAATAATTATACTTTTGTGACGTTTGAAAAAAATATATTTTATATTATGCTAATTTTTAAATAATTATTCGTCTTTTTATTCTTTCAGATACAAAATACTTGAATTAAAAAGTTTTCTTATTGAAAGGATTTCAATCATACATTTTTATTAGAAAATGTTTATTTTTTTAATTCAATATTAGGATATTAGTTAGTTTTTTTTTAATTTTTACGACTCCAAAATGCTGTTACGTCAGCTGCATCGGCTGCCGACGGGTCTCAATAAACTATCTTTCTCGCGCTTATAGATACTCATAAGAGTTTCTTATCCCACTTATTTAAAATCTTTATTCGCGTCTGGCAATTATTAAATCCCATTGAATTCCTATGGTAATTAACACATATTTTTTCATTCTAAAAATTTCACGCTGTAAAAATTTTAGAATGCCTAAAGTATGTTTTCCAGGTATAATAATTAAACATATTTGGAACGGTCGGGTTACACTTTAAATCCGAAAAAAAGTCTGGTATACTTATTTCTATGTTAAATAGATGCTAAAATTTAAGAATAAACAAATTTCAAGTTGCCTAAAGAATGTTTTTTGGATTTATTTTTTTGCAAAAGTTATGGGTTGCGCAGTAGCGAAATACCCCCAACCCCCCAGCCAGACTTAGGATTCTGGGTTCACCAGTTAATAAACTATACATTTTTAGTTATTCTAGCTTGCCTAAAATATGTTCTCTAAATATGTCGTCAGCTTTTAGGCTAAAATATCATATACGTATTACTTTTTACAAATATACTCAGGGTTCCCTATTCAACCCCGTGTGCAATTTTTGTGCCGTAAGAAAAAGACAACATAACCCAGCTCCATATTAAAACTGCATAAGTCTATTTCACCCGGATATGGATTGAACTGCGATTGCGCCAAACTCCGATTGATTGTTGTTTTAGTTCTGTTTGGATTACTTTTTATTTGTGCGCGTAAAAGAGTGATTTTGTTTAGTTTATTGTTTCCAACTATTTTTTGATATTTTTCCAACTCCATGATAATGTGTTATAAATAATAAAAATATAAATAAAATTGAAGGTTAGGGGAAATGTCAGTCAACCACTTCCCTTTAAAAACATCGACCAATGAAAACTTCTTCAGGTGAGGCATGCTCAGTTAAATGAATATCTGGGTGAAATAGACTTATGCAGAATTCCATATTGTTCTTTCACTGTTTGGGCTTCACTTTTTGGAGATTAGGCTGAGTATATTTGTAAAAAGTAATACGTATATGTAAAATATGTATACAGTCTGTCCAATGGAAGGATTCTTGACAGTGACAGTTGTGTATGTCATTTTAATACATTAGCAATTTGTAATTTCTATCATTTTTTGGATGTCGTCTGTCGAAATCTTCCCTGAGTCTTTGGACAGACTATAGTAAACAATATGAACTCACCTTCTTCATCCTCCTCCTCTGCATCTAAAAGATCAGAACAACAACATGTGTATACTATCAACATGAAAAATAGAGAAGGCAAAGTAACTACAGAGATAACCATTACAGGATTTCCTTGCCACATATCTTCCAATTCTCTCTTTATATTTAGAATTTTTCTAACTGTATTTACAGCAATAGTATTTCCGCCATAAGCCTAAAAATCATTGTAAAATATAACATATTGCTGTGTAATAATTATATCTTAAACTGTTCTAGATATATTGAGAATTTTATTACTTTAATTATCTGGAAGTATATACAAAAAATGCTAGGATTATTAGTTGGCATCCTAGTCATAGTGTCCTGAGATATTATTATGATGTACCTCAATGACTAAAAATACAAGGACATGTAACGGCTATATACAGGCTGCAGCAAAATTTGTGACCTTTAGACGCCATTTTTTTGGACATAATGGATGAATCATCAGCTGTTCATCAGCGACAATTTAGCGATTTTTAATAGTTGGTTGTGTGTAGTGAACTTTGTATAAACTTTATTACAATGGTAATTTGTTCATCTTTCAAGTGTAAAAGGCGCTATGATAAAAAAGATCCAGGAGTTACGTTTTATAGGGAAATAAACAGTCACTACACCTTTTTAGCGTTTTTTTATTGAATTCGATAATTATTTTTCTGATATTATATGTACTTGATGTGTGCTATACGTCGATATACTAGTTTTGTATCTTTTGTTAACATTTTAATACGTTTTTTTCGTAATTAATTAGTATGATACCACAGGACACACCAGAGGCGTAGTGAAAATATTTACCAAAAATATAAATATCGCTTCAATTGGCTATGTTAAGAAAAATATGTGCCACGGCACTGTTTGGAAGAATGGTCACAGTTTGGTTTTGGTTGCTATTTGTCCTTGTATTCTTTAGTCATTGATGTACCTATTACATGTTAGTGACACCTATTTATGTGTTAACACTTACTGGCGATGTGCTATTTATAATTCTTTCTAGAAACACTTCAATTGCCTGACTAGTCATTTGTACAGGATCATCATCTGGTATATGATGGTGGTAAGTACTAGAGTTAAAAACCAATAGATATGGTAGAGGTAATCTGACCATTGCAATGCTGTTGGCTACAGATGGATTTCCCATCCATCCAAATTGAAAATATTTATGGTAGACATCTCTTTTATTCCTAAAATAAAAATTAACACTTAGGCAATAATTATTCCATATTTAAACTGTACTTACCGAATTAAATTTTCTACTTTACTTCTAAATTCTAACATATCAGGTGGAATTTCATTAATTTTATTTTCTTCCACAATAACCAACACCAAGTATTTTTTAGTTTGCATATACTCATTAATGTTATCGGATGTAATTTTTGGAAATGTTTCAAAACGTTCTTCATTTACCCATTTATATAATGTTTTGTTCAAATGGATGACTTCCTCTTCTCCATTACCTTCCTCAACTAAAAGGTTAATAAGCTGCTATTTTTTTTAACTAACTTTTTTAACTGCTAACTTTAAGAAATGTTTATATAATATATAGAAATTAAGAGTACCTGGATAAAAATAATGTACTCCCTCTTTGTGAACAAATACAGCTGGTAATTCATGAATATTAACATGTTGTTTAGCAACATCTTCACTTGAACAATAAAAATACACATATGGTTGCATATAAACAGCAGTGGTATAATAAACATCCCATAAAGGCCCTAAGCATTAAAGGTTTACTTCTTTTTTAATGATTTTTATCCTTGTATTAAGATTTACCTTCTCTTTTTCCAATGTACATGAAAAATAACTGATTCTCGTTTTTTAGATTATTTAATACATCCGACTTGGTAATTTCCTGTACAGGCGGGAGTGACATTCTAATAGCATAGTTTACTAAAACATCCTTAGAACGATCACCATAAAATGTATGCTCAGAGTCCGGTTTTAGACTAGAATTTTATGAAACTTTGTTACCCAGAACAGTAATATTATGTAATCTTATATAATGATGTAAGTACATATAAATGCACAAAAATCTTACAATTTTATTGTTGGTGTTCCATATGCTTTAAATTCATTGGCAACTGAAGGGAACCTTGTAACATCAACTTTTCCTACCCTAATATTTGTTTTAGCGAGTGCTTGAGCCACATGCATCCAAATAGGTTCGAGTTTTTTACAGTGCCCACACCAAGGTGCATAAAACTGAACTAACCACATCCCACCATCTTTGCGAATTTCTGGAAATCTGTCTGTTAATTCCAAGACTCTAGACGTGAGAATGCCTTGTACATAAATGACTACAAAATATGAGAATAATAAATAAAAAAAATGATACCATAACATCTTACTATAGAAGAAAACAGAAGTATGCAAGTTCATTTCTTCTATCGTTTTGTTCTTCAAGGAAGACAAAATAAACTGTAAATTTTGAAATATAATTAAGATAAGAAGTAGCCACTACTTCTTCATATGGGATCAAAAATATACAAATTTAATAAAGAAATTGTTTAAAAGGCTCTTCATTTACAATATTTATATCATGTTAATATTTATACTTGTCAGACAGTTGTCAGATTTTTAATTTTTAAACAAAAATCAGCTGTCAAAAATTAGGTCAAGCCATAGAACAAAAATGATGAGGACGGCGCCATATTATGTACTTCTATCTTCTATGGGTATATCCGACAGTTGTAGATCATATGCAAAAGAATATACGTATATGATTTTAGACTTGCGTCTAGCCCAGTCTAGCCATACCGTGCAACTGTTCAACTTCAACCCACAGGTCCGATGACGGTCGAAGTCTCCCGATCATTTTCCAATGATGCCCGCCAAATTTAAATCTTGGGCTATTTTCTTGTCTTTTATTATAAACTTGTGTAAAGGTATGGCTTAATGGATGCCTTATTAAAGATTACCAATTAAGAAAAAAGGAAAAGGTGAAAACAATCAAAGGATGGCAGAACATTTTTTTGTTTAAGAAATGTTTTTTTATCTTTCAATTATAATTCTTTTAGCATTTGTTATTATTGTCCCGGGTAATAAACCTACTAAACTAATTTTAACTCGTTTTATTTCCTGCACATTATTACAACTCTAACGATTAATAATTCGGGTTCGACTAGACTGCCTAAATCTCTGATCTTACTATCTATAAAATTTTGATTCAATTTTATGGCTATATAAAAATATTTTTTGGAAACTTCGAAAAGTAAACCGAAACCGTTAATCAATAATAATTAACAATAAATGAGTTTTATAGAATTAAATATACATATTAGAAATACTGTCCTCTAATCCTAAACAAAAATTGGCTAAGTAAACCTCGTCCAACTACCACTTTACACCGGTATACGTTCTCGCATTGCTTCAGTGCAAATGTAGTGTCTAGATTTACTTTATTATGTTCATCAAAGATGTTCATTGTCTCTCTTCTCTCTTTTTACAGCTAAATAAAACTTGGGACTATCCGGTATGTTAGCTTCCATTATTCTTCCTCTTCAACTCAGTATATTATCATATATAGCATAAAGTCCCTGTCGGATTCCATACAGAATTGTTCGCCATCTTGAACAGGAAGAAATTGACCTGCCATCTTGCCATCGTTCACAGTTCACACTGGTTCAGGGTGCAGCCACACTATCCTAAAAACGGCGTATCGGCGTAATGGCGTAACGACCTTGAATCGATTTCCAGTAATTCTATTGGCTGAAATTTTTGACAGATGAATTTGACAGATAAAATTTCTGACAGATGAATGTTTCAGCCAACGGAATTACTGGAAATCTATTCAAGGTCATTACGCCGTTACGCCGATACGCCGTTTTTAGGATAGTGTGGCTGCACCCTCACACACAAACTAGGGATGCACGATTCGAATTGATTTTAATCGAAGATCGATCTTTTTGCCCAAAATATCGATTAAAATCGATCGATTTTTATCAAACGATCTTTTGGTAGAATCGATCTTTTTTCAAAATCGAAGATCGATTTTATTTATACATTTTTACAGGTTTATTTATTTGTTAGAATAAAAAAAACACTTTAGTTTTGCTTGAATAACGTCGTATAAATTTGCTACCTGCAATGTATGTAGAAAATTCGCTCGGCTTTGTATCGAGTATGTCACATTAAAATCGGATTTCAATTTATTTAATTTTAGGATCGCTTGTAACTCGTCACTTGCATCGCTCGTTCATAATCGTGCGATGTCGGTTATTTCAATAATCGAGTACCTACTCGAGCGAATTTTAGGTAGAGTTATCCCATCACTAGTATTAACAGCAGTAAGTTCTTCTCTGGTATTAACTTGCGGTTGTTGAGACTTTTTGAAAATAGATGATTAATTTATTGATTATTCATTTATTAATCATATATCTATATATTTAAATAATTTTGTTACAAATTTTAATACTGGAATATGCATGACCAATACGATTTCCTCTGTATAGTTTTCTACCTTCAGTTTGCAAACACTAAATATCTTTTAACTTTAAAGGAACAACCAAAGACATCTAAATAAAGGGGAACAACCATTTTTTTGCTCGATATATTAACGAATTTTTATTCCTCAAATTTGAGAGTTTTGTTTATATTTCGAAATTAATTTTTCGGTTGTCGGAACTTCAGAAGTTTTTAACTATTTTTCTTGTTTACTCATAAACTCAATTAATAATATTTTCAAAAAGCGATTTTTGTTACCAATGCAAAGTTATAATGTACAAAATTGTGATACGCATTTTCTTGTTGTTTTTTGTTTTTACGAATTTACTTAATGGGAATTAATGGGCAGTTACGAATTTACTTAATAATATTGACTAGATTTAATCCAACAAGTTTTCAATTTTTTAAGTAAATAATTTGAAACCATTTAAACTCAAGGTCTACTAATCCCACTCTAATCTAACTGCTATGTATTTTATCACCAAAAAGTGGGTGTGTAATCTAGGGAAAAGGTAATTATTCGTTAACTACATATAAACTACATCAACTCACTTCGTAATTTATTGTGTAAACAGACAGTTTTTGCATTGCATTTCCTGAAATCCGTTAGAAGTGTAACGTTATTTAATAAATAATTATTTTTTAAGAATGATTATTGATATTAGAAATATATTTTAAATAATGTGCACAATCTGGTATAGTATCCTTGTACCGAATATATACAAGGGTATACTTCTTTAAGTACTATTTTAGTATGCGGAATATGTTTGGAATGTAGAATGAAGAATGTATCGTAGGAACCGTGACCTTACAGATCTATTGCGCGTCCCCCTTTCTTGAATTGTAATGAGTTATAACATGGTTATAACTCATCGTACTGTCTGAGGGCTTTGACAAAAGCCAGTATCTGAGATGGCTTCATAGAGGTTAGTTCTCCATCTTCGATATCAGGCGTACCGAATTTCATGGCACGAATGGTTTGTCGTCTCGTCGCACTCAGTGATTAGGTGTTTTCCCATTTTCCCCACAGAATCTGCATTCGCCGTTGCTTAAATCTATAGAGGTGTTCGTTGAGGAAATAGTGTCCTGTTAAAATCTTTGATTTTTCTGGGTTCTAAGTTCTGGAAAATTCCTTTGAGTGTCTTAGGCCTTTGGAGAATTCCCATTCCAGGTTACGGATGGAGTTTTTCAGATTACATATATATATATATATATATATATATATATATATATATATATATATATATATATATATATATATATATATATATATATATATATATATATATATATATATATATATATATATATATATATATATATTTCTTGCCTTTTAGCTGTGTATTTTTTTTCTAATTTCGAAAAATCGAAAGTAGAGAAAAATAAAAAAAATAAAAAGTAAAAAGAAAATTGTTTTGCTTGTCGTAAAGGGGGGAACCAAGCTCCACTCCCACACAACGGTTTCTGGGCCTACCCTTCATCAGGTGGGCTGTCCAGGGGCTGGTTCTCACCGATACGGCAATCAAAACTTCTTCTATATCTACAGACGATGTCGTAAAGTGTCGGTGAGATATTAGTGCATCTCCCGTCAAAAGATGGTAAAGAGCGTTTTTCGGCCCGCTCAAATATATGAAATGAACAAAATTCTTACAGCTTTAGTGTATATTAATAAATAATATTTTCTTGCCTTTAGCTGTGTATTTTTCTAATTTCTGAAAAAATCGAAAGCAGAGAAAAATTAAAAAAAAAAAATAAAAAGTAAAAAGAAAATTTTTAAAAGTAATTTCTTTAAAGTAAAAAAAAAAAATTATTTTCTTTACTTTTTATTTTTTTTTTCTCTACTTTCGATTTCGAAATTAGAAAAATAGCCAAAGGCAAGAAAATATTAATATTACATACACCAAAGCTAAAGAGCTTTGTTCATTTACATATTGAGCGGGCCGAAAAACGCTCTTTACCATCTTTTGACGGGAGATGCATCAATATCTCACCGATTATTCTTTACGACATCGTCTGTAGATATAGAAGAAGTTTTGATATATATATATATATATATATATATATATATATATATATATATATATATATATATATATATATATATATATATATATATATATATATATATATATATATATATATATATATATATATATATATATATATATATATATATATATATATATATATATATATATATATATATATATATATATATATATATATATATATATATATATATATATATATATATATATATATGAAATGAACAAAATTCTTACAGCTTTAGTGTATATTAATAAATAATATTTTCTTGCCTTTAAGCTTGTGTACTTTTTCTAATTTCGAAAAAATCGAAAGTAGAGAAAAAATTAAAAAAAAAAAAAAAAGAAAATTGTTTTGCTTGTCGTAAGGGGGAACCAAGCTCCACTCCCCACAACCGGCTTTCTGGGCCTACCCTTCATCAGGTGGGCTGTCCGAGGGGCTGGTTCTCACCGATACGGCAAGCAAAACTTCTTCTATATCTACAGACGATGTCGTAAAGTGTCGGTGAGATATTAGTGCATCTCCCGTCAAAAGATGGTAAGAGCGTTTTTCGGCCCGCTCAAATATATGAAATGAACAAAATTCTTACAGCTTTAGTGTATATATTAATAAATAATATTTTCTTGCCTTTAGCTGTGTATATATATATATATATATATATATATATATATATATATATATATATATATATATATATATATATATATATATATAAGCTTTAAGTTGGTTACCACTTGGGAAGCACAACGGTTCTGGTCCAGTTGGTGGAGCGTTCGCTCCTATTCTAGCTAGATCGTTTGCTTTTTCATTGGCTTCTATCTCTTGGTGGGCCGGCATCCAGAGGACTTTCGGTGGACTTTATTATCTTTGTCTAATTTGTTCAGTTTCTCTAGGCATTCTATGACCAACTTTGAATTGATGGTTGCTGAGTGGGTCGCTTTTAATGCTGCTTGACTATCGGATAAGATGGCTATTTCTTAATTCCGATCTAAGATGAGTTGTACTAATTTTTCGATAGCGATTGGCACAAATTAAGAAAAAATACTTACTTGAAAGAATCTATACTAATATATAAAATCCTTAAGTGACTGACATACTGA